ATAACCATAAAGTTAAACGAGTTTTAATTCGGACCCCTCGGTCACTTTGGTCGCCCAAGACCCGTGGCTGACAACCAGGTCACCCAAGTTGCCCAAGTCGCCGGGCTCTCATTGAAAATGAATGACCTCTACCACTTTCGAAGCTCTGGTCGCTTTTGGTGTGAACGTACAGTTAGGGACATAAACTGACAGTGCAAACATGCCCTGAGTGGTTACATTGCAGCTTGTTTTGCTGCTCCTGTATCTACCTGTTTTATTGCAGCACCAGAAATTACCAAAGTTGAATTATCACAAAAAAACTGAAGTGGAAAGTTTTGTACTGGTTAAAACATAAATGTTGTATTTTCATCATGTTTTCCACAGTTTGAGGTGTGACTGTTGCTCTTTTAATTATTTCAGTATTTCAAGTGTATGGCATCATAGCGCCCTTTTTTTCTGCAGAGCTTTAATGGCACCCAACTGGAGCATTAGTGCCACCAAGTGCTCAGTCTTTATCTCGATGCTTCTACAGTCATGGATTAAAACTTGCCCTAATTCACATAGTCTTTTTATTCAATTAACTTGACCCAATCCTGAACTGTGAGAGGACGGAAAAACTTTAAACAAACACACAATTACAGTGTGTGTGTTTTTGTGTGTGTGTTACAGTCCTTCATCGTAACAAGTTGACCCACACAGACCTGAAGCCAGAGAACATCCTGTTTGTCTGCTCCGACTATGACCTGGAGTACAACAACGAGACGGTATAAGTTTTGTAAAGACAATTAAAACATGTCATGCTGCTGTTTCAAGGTGTGCCAAGTGGTGATAGGTGTTTAGCAGTGTGTGTGTGTGTGTGTGTGTGTGTGTGTTGTGTGTGTGTTTCAGAAGTCTAAGAAGAAAAAACCAAGGAGTCTGGATGTGAAGGTGGTGGATTTTGGCACTGCCACATTTGATCATGAACACCATGAATCCCTGGTGTCAACACGCCACTACCGAGCTCCAGAGGTCATACTGGGTACACACACACTCCCCCATGCACACACAGAAATACTAAAGCTGTGTGTCAAATGATCCATGTAATTTGTGTTAACTGTTTGTTTGTGCACAGATTTGGGCTGGAACCAGTCGTGTGACGTTTGGAGTCTGGGCTGCGTTCTGATGGAGTTTTACTTGGGCCGCACACTCTTCCCGGTAAACACATACAGACACACATACACACTCAGAAAAAAAAGTAATGCTTTTTCTTACCCTGTCCGTCTTTTGTTTCAGACTCACGACAGTAAAGAACATCTGGCCATGATGGAGAAGACTCTGGGGCCGATTCCCCCTCATCTGCTGAAAAAGACCAGGTAACCAGCTACCTTGAAGAGACAGTTCAGCACACTGTATGTAGTGTTCACCGCCCTTTGGCTTTCTGTGGTCCCAGAAAAACGTTTCTATCAAATGGCATCAAGGAGGGCAGAGTGCCTGAAAAATAAAAGCATATCAGTGCGAACAGACTTCAGTGGAGTCCAAACAACAGACAGCAAGACAGGTTACTAATTAAAAACACCTGTGCTGCTTTATCCAAGTGTCTTGTATCAATTTGTAATAGTTTAGCAAAAATAGTTGTATCATATTGAGAAACAGCAATAATATCTATATGAATGTGCTGATTATATTTTGAATTATTAATCTGAATCTGCAAAGTGACTGAAAACGAAAGCATTCAAATAAATTTAGTGGAGATAAAATGATAATGTTGACTTCCAAAATGTAGTGAAGAAGAAGGAAATGGGGGAAAATGGAAGGTAAGTTCAAGTACCTCATAATTTTTACTTACTTTCGTAAGTGGGCTTTCCACCACTGCTGGTTGGGAGGAAGTGAGTTGAAAACAGACTGTATAAAAATAATGGACGTAGACGTAGTCATCATGATGTCATCCACTGGTCTGTGGACCCTCATTGTAAAGCCTTGAGTTTTGCATTTTGGCTGTTGCCATCTTGGATTTTTGAAGCCAGACAAGATCATATTTGGACTGAGCTGAGGAATAGCAAGACCGTTGTGTTGCCTCACAGACAACCTGTCACTCAATTTTGTGTAACTTTAAGCCTTAATAAAATATAAATGTGTGAGTTATATAAAAGTTAACCTCACCTACAGTTTTCATGAAGGGGGGAAATTAGCTTTAGAACTGTAAACCTGTTTATTGCTGCTGTAGAGTTGGGCAGTTTAATATGGGGCTCAATGGGATTGACTGGCTTTTGGAGTCAGCCTCAAGTGGCCATTTGAGGAACTGCAGCTTTTGGCACTTGGCATTGGCTCCATTTTCCGCCCCAGAGGGTGTTGTTTGATTGAAAGAAGCTGTGTCTTCTATCTCACCGACAGCTAACTCCTATATGACTCATGTGTATGTGCTGTATTTTGTGTAGAAAGCAGCATTACGTGCACAACGAGCGTCTGAACTGGGATGAGCAGAGCTCCTCTGATGATTACATCAGAGCAAACTGTCAACCTCTCCAGGTAAACACAACACTCAGTTTCAGCCAGTCAGCTGCAGCCGTGATGTGGCAGCAGAAAAGTCACAGTTTACTGTCCATCTTTCAGCAGCACATGCTCAGGTGCAGCGAGGACGAGAGGCAGTTGTTCGACCTGCTCGGCTGCATGTTGGAGTACGACGTCTACAGACGGATCACCCTGGAGGAGGCGCTGTGGCACCCGTTCTTTAGCCCGCTGAGGGTGCAGAAGCAGCGCAGCTAACACACACGCGCGCACACACACACACACACACACACACACACACACACACACACAACATACAGTATACCTCAGACTGTAATGTAACTGTTTGGGTTTGTAGTTCTGCGTTGATGAGTTGGATGATTTTGTGTTTTATACAGTCACAACAGTTTCAGAGAGCATTCCTGTCTACTTGAAATTATTTTTTTTGAAACATCCCATCATGATCTAGCAGTCCGCATGCTATTGTAAAAAGTCAAGTGTAATACAGAATATTTTCGTGTTTTCCTTTATTGATTTTTGTTGGCAGTTTGTTAATAAATATTGTGCATTTTGTGTCTTTATTTTGTTTAATATCATGCATTTCTACTGCTTTTTACTACTGCTCATTCACCATCAGAGGTGGGTAAAGTAGCCAAACTCAAAAATATTATTGCCATTACATGAAGTCATTTTGACGTTGCAGTGTCAACTAAATACCTAGAAAATACATACAATAGAAGAACAAGAAATCATTTTTGTCATTTATGATAACAATTTTCTCACTGACGTTATTTCTTTGATCTACATGATTACATTGCTACAACCATCTGGCGTGACACCCAGGCCGAGACTCCTGTTCAAGACCAACAAAAGCGGGTATTTCTTAACGAGACATCAGGACATTTCCAGATATGTTTGTGGCAACAAAGGCAGGTGTTTTTAATGAGGCATTTCCAACTGTGTCCGTGGCGTCAAAAGTGAGTAATTTTTAGTGAGACATCGGGACATTCCAGCCATGTTTGTGGTGACGAATGCAGGTGTTTTTAACGAGACCATGGGACATTTTCAGCTGTGTTTTTGGCAACAAAAAGGGTGATTTTTTTAAGAATACGTCAGGACATTTTCAGCCATGTTTGTTGCGACAAAGCAGGTATTTTAAATGAGATGTTGGGACATTCCCAGTCATGTTTGTGGTGACCAAAACCAGGTATCTTAAGCCAAAATAGTCTTTCCTAACTGAATAGTTTTTTTGCCAAAACAAAACCACATTAACCACAGCACTGTCACAACATACAGTAAAAATGTAAAGTATCAACATATTCGCTAATGAAATGTATAGATTTCTATATCCATGGTTTGCAAAGAAAGCAGAATGCCAAAATTTATTCTGGCAACTGGTGAGGGATGGAAAAACATCTCTTTTTCCACCTTGGAAGTGTTCATGCATTAGTCCAAGGTGGTTAGACACAGTTATATGTTCCAACCACAGGCCTTTTTTAGGTACATCCACAGACAGCATTATCCTGCAGGGAACTACTAAAAGCCTGCTTGTTACAGCATGACGAGACACATGACGAAAGACGTGAAGGTACATTAACTCTATTTCCAGTTCAGCTGATTATGCTTCATGTAGACACGGCAGTCTGTTAACTATCTAACCCCATGTGGAAATCCCTGACATCACCGGACGTAACTGCTTTGTTGATCCAGACTGCTGACACGTTAAGTGGACGTTTTTATATCAAGATTTAAACAGCTGAGGAAGTGTCCATGACTGAATAGTTATCCAGCTATGAAACATTACCTGCTCGGATACACAACCTGCTCTCATTTGCTATCTGAGAACCATCGCTTTTAAGCTACTAAATCACATGCATGCTATAAAGCAGGATAAAACAAGCAGGTCCGATGGCTAAAGCACGCAATTTATACAGGTTCCAGTCTGTCTTGTGACCAGTGCTGCACGTTATCTTTATATCTGCCTCAATGTACTTAGCAAAGGAGAGATAACATAACAAAATACAATAACTTATTGAGAAAACAATTTATAACTTTATGAAAAGATGTGGCTTACATGACTGCAGTTTTTGTCTCTATGAGATTATGGGTGGGAGATTTAGGTATGTCTGTTTCTTGATGAGTGTTGGATGCTCTATAATTTTGAAATGTTTTTTCTCTGTGTAGGATGTGTAAGATATCTCTTTAATCAAAGAGCACAACCAACCAAATTCCTGGAAGCTGTCAATTCAGCAATTCTAAAAATTTCCTGTTGCATTGTCTGTCAGCGAGACAGTGGCCCATATCAGTGAGCAGCCAATAACGTGAGTCCTGAACAGTGTTGCCAGATTGGACTGACAAAAAATAGTCTCAGTCACAGCCTAAAACCCATCAAATTGTCATAAAAGTAGCCTAATTTTAATTTCACAAAAAAAATGAACGCAAACAAAGTCAACTTCTTCTTTTCATAGTTACAGTTTTTACCAACAAAAAAGTAAACAAGTCAAACACAAAGGAAGCATATACTACTGATTCTACCACAAATCCTTTATTTTGAATTTCACTTTCTTCAATCATCCGTTTATAACACAACAGCCAAGTGCCTTTTGGGTTTTCTCCTCCAGCTGCACACAGGCAGTGTCCTCGACAAGTCTCTGAGGGATAGCAGACTTGCAGTAAGTGTGCATAAAGGGTTCAAAAAGTCAGTGAGCACCCCTCGGGCACTTATTCCACAGTGGGACGGGCCTGAACCCTTGCAGACTTATCAGGAGCTCATGTCAAAGTCTGTGAAACTGGACCGCTGAACTCTGTTCCTGCTTCCTGCTGCCTTTGACCCTCCAGCTTCACTGGGAACTGTGAAGCAAATCTTTAAATGACACAGTAGTGCTGTCACTGTTATGTACGGGGGCGTAATGAATTCACTTGAGAACAAAACAATCAAAATTACTCTCTCAGAATTATGAGAAAAGTTTTCATGGGAAAATAATTTCCGAATTACAGCTGTTAATTTGCAATAACAAGCATGAAAATTTATTAGAATTCTAAGATAATAATCTTGCCATAATAATCTTGTTCATTCTGAAAAACATGGCAAATATACATACATTTTTTTCCTCAAATGAATGCATTATGCTTATGTAGTTATGAGTCTCCTTCCTTCTGTCACTCAAACAGCAGACAAGTATTACCCTTACACAGAGCCATGTCACTAGCATGGCTAAAAAGCGGGCCGTAATAAACCAGAATTATGATATTTGTTATTTCTTTACTGCCACCATATAGATTACTAGGGGAGACCGGGAATGGTTGTAACATTTGTGACATTTCTGTCTGTATCTTGGAGCTCTTATAAACCAGTGTGTTCAAAATGATGCAGCTATTATCTCCGTTACACAAACAAAAAATGCACACTTCAGTCTCAAACACAATGAGTAAAATGTTAATATTCATGCCATAGTCCGGGTTAGCTGTGACCAGTGCTGGGCAGTGACTGCAATAATATTGTTTTTTCAATAACAGGTGGTGAAACTAATTTATCATTACTTTTGTTGGATCAGTGGATTCATTTTCGTAATCATCACACTGTGCATGCACGCCACAGAGCAGTAAGCTAGTTTGGAAGATGAAGGCGATTGGAAATATTACGATTACTTGAATTTTGTTGGAAGGAAAGATAACAAGAGCATTATTGTTCCAGGTAACGTTAGTGGTACTAAGTGAATCAGATGTGTCATAGCTTGTTCCTGGTTGGAGAAATTGAAAGTGTCACAGCTATCCCGTGTTACAACCGTCCCTGGTCTCCCCTACTGAATATATCATGTGGAATGAGTAAAGAGTAACAAAATAATAAGTCTACCATTGAAAATTTAATATTTAATACTTTATATTAAATATAATTTTATTTTTGGCTTACAGACCTCTATTCCAGAACATCACATTGACTAAACAAAAAAAAGCACCACCTTTTTATTGTTGTTGTTGTTGCCTCTATTTCCAAGTGTCTCTCACAGGCTGGTTGTGGCAGATCGTGGCACAGTGTGAACCTTATCGTTGCTGATAATTGGCCGCAGCAGCGAAGGGTTGAGGGTGCCTCCAGCAGAAGCACCAACTGGAGTCAGCACAGTTGGCTGCGGGTCACATGTTTCTGTGACACCTGGTGGTCCAGCAGCCAATGACCTGCCTGTAAAGCAAGAAAACATGGCTGCCAACTTCAGCCGTACCTCCCTTTGCCAAAAGGCGTACACCAGTGGGTTGATCAGCGAGTTGGACAGTCCCAACAGCCACAGATAATTCTCCAACACGTTGGTGAGTTGGCAGCTTTCACACAGAAGGTGCACAATGCACGCCACAAAGAACGGGCACCAGAGGACCAAGAAGCAGCCCACAAGCACCCCCACTGTCCTCAGGGCCTTGACGTGGCTCCAGTAGTGGCTCCTCAGCTGCTGGTGATGATGCTCATAATGTTGATGGCTATGGCGGTCAGCCGTCCTGGAACCAGCTTGTCTGACTTGGCAGATCTGCTTCTGGTGGCTGCAGGCAATCTTCAGGATGTCCAGGTAGATGTAAATGAATACAGAGAGCACGGGGAAGAAGCACGCGCTGAATAACACAATCATGCCCACCTTGTGAATGACGGAGAAAAAGGCGCAGAAGCCGCCGTATCCTTCTGTCTGCAGCTGCCGCACCATGACTGAGGAAAAGAGGACATGGGTTATCTGCCACATGACACTCCTGCTACTTACACTCTTAAACTATAAAGAAAATACTCTAAAGCCTAGTTCACATTACACGATTTTCACTGCGATTTGGCGTCACAGAGGATCTTGAGAGCCACCTTGGGTCGCAGGTGAGTCGGCAGATAGTCTGCCATGGCGAGTCCTCATGTGTGAACAAGCCTACGAGCAAGTCGCCCCCTCGTCTGTGACTGGGACTGGATATCTGGCATGCTAGAAAACTGGAGAAGTCTGACACGACTGACAAAGAGCATCAGCCAATGAGAGGCGGGATACGTCCCACGTCAGCACACAGGAGGATGGAAGAAATGTGAGGATGACAAGCCGCAGGGTTACCAGGTCCGCTTATTAGCCGTGACTTTGGGCTTGTTTTTTTGTAAAGTCGCTTACAAATATTGGTAGTCGCAGGTTGCGGTATTTTGGGTTTGTTTCTAAAGTGGAGTTGCTTATTTGGGCTTGCTCTCTAAACGTCGCCTTTCTCTATATATATTCGTTGCTTCTTTTGGGCTTGTTTCCATAGCCCTGGTTGCTTGTTTCTCTCCCAAGATCTGGCAACACTGATGAGCCGGCAAGCAACAACAACAATGGCGGCGTCCACAGGATCACAGGGAGCGTGATCCATGCCTTTACGATGTGCCATCTCCAAGTTAAAAAACGTAGTTTGGTGACGTCATCGCGTTATCTGGGGCTCTGTCTGCGAGGGCTCGGTGGAGAAATCTTGTGGTGTGCACACACAGGTTGTAACGCAGTTGGCGAGACTCCCGATGACAGAAACACACGTCGCCAGGTATGAACACTCAAAAGATTACGATAGTCTCCACAGCGCAAAATCGGGGTGAAAATCGTGTAATGTGAACTGGCCTTAAATTTGTTCATGGCACCAGTAAATCCTCTCTGAGAAACCTTAAAAATCACAGATATATTACTCATAACCTTTTGAATATGGCATGCCACAACATTATTTTATGCAGTATGCAGTACTATTTTCTTTTACTCTAATACATCAGAATTAGTGTTGGCATTGAACATTTCTGCAAACCACAACTATGTTACTCTTACATGTTTATATGTAACAGATACATTACACTTTTCAACAACGCCGAAGTGAAGGCATGGTGACGTTATGCACAAAAACCACTTGGTTATGGTTAAGAAAGGATCATGTTTTGGCTTAAAATACTCCATTTGGGAGTCATAATCCTGGCTAGAAAAGCAGCAATGTCTCGGTAAAAAACAACCGCTTTTTGGGCCTAAAAAGCTGCAGGAAAATCAGCAACACGTTGCTACAAAACACCTACATTTGGTGCCTAAAAAGCCACTGAAGATCACTTAAGAAACAATATGATACGTATGAAACCGATGTAACATATTCATGATTTGCAGAAATATACAATGCCAACATTTTTTTCTGCGACTGGGCTGTAATACGTTAAAAATTTGTTTTTAAGTCTCACCTGGCAAGAATCCCACAGTGAGGGAGCTGATCCACAGAGCCAGCAGTGACCCAAGTGCTGTCCCCTTCCCAGACAGCTGGGAGTACCGCAGGGGCATCTTGATGGCTGCGTAGCGGTCAAGTGAGATCAGGAACATGGACATGATGGAGGCTGTGCAGGGCGATGTCACAAAGGCCATCCGCATCAAACACCGGGTCTTGCCCTGAGCAGGAGGGGTTGTGTTTGTGGTAGGATCAGAATTAACGTAGCTCAGCTGGCTCTGACTGATGTTGTTGTTGTTGAGGTCCTCTGTGGCCATGCCAGTGATGGCCACACCCACCAGGGCATCGGCCAGTGCCAAGTTGAGGACAAAGCACCAGCTCTGGCTTCTCTTCTTCAGGAGTAGCTTAAGAAGAGCAACTGCCACCAGCAGGTTGGTGGAGATGATGAGGCAGGAGGCGATGCTCAGGATCACCCCCATCACCCGAGGCCTCACCTCGCTTGGGGTTCCCGGCTCGCTGGAGTCCATGCTGTCAGGTGTCATCCTCACAGTGGCCTCAGCGTTCACATGTCCACTCAAATATGACATGGTGATAACAAGAATCTGATGATTTTAAGGTAAAATTCACAAAGCCTGTGTGCAGTTGAGATGGGATAACATTGTTGCATTCAGAAATTTGTTTTATCCTTTATGGCCGTATTTGAAAACCATTAGAAACCATTAGAAAAAATGCACAGAAAATAAGTTTGATTACCACAAGAAGAAGAATCTTATCAGCCAACATTGTCCAGTTACATCCAGTATCGTGTAATGTTTCCACAGTGCCTCATAGTAGAGTTAAGAAAGTTTAACTGTTGCTAAAACATCCAGCTCGATCTCTCTGTTCTCATCAGTGTCCTTAAAATGCCTTCAACTAATGCAGAGGGGCAGAGACACTCACAGTGTTATCAGGTCTCGCTTGTCCCTCCCCCTAACACACACACACACACACACACACTTACAGTCACACATGAGCCACTGCTCATCCGTTGCTGTTGTTGCCTCTCTGGGATTGACCCATGTCCCAGCTGCCTGCCTGCTGGCTCACTGCCGAGAAAACAGGAAGATAAATTACTGTATTTATCATTTTTAATCAAGAAGAATTTCTAAACTAAGGCTTGATAGGGGTTGATGTCCCAAACCTTACATAATTAGGGAATAAATAAAAAAACATAGATAAATGAACTCAGCTTTAAATGGCTCAAAAATGAAGCCAAGACAGAATTTCAAAAACTGCAGTTCCTCTGATGGCCAATTGAGGCTGGCTCCAAGAGTGAGTCAATCCCAACCTTACAGCTGAAATAAACATGTTCACAGCATGGTACAAAAACAATTTTAGTCTCTTTAACCAATTTCAACATTAATGCCAGCAGTACAGGGGATGGCTTTTTAATAACTCACCTTTTTCAATTTTATTAAGGCTTAAAGTTATCCATAATAAAGGGCATGGCAGCTTTGAGTGACAGGCTGTTTGCGAAGTGTTAACTCAGTGTCTCAGTCAGATCCACCCCTCGCTCTTCCACAGCTCCACCCTCCAAGCCAAATAAGGTGACTTCTACCTGGGTCACTTGGCTGTCAAAAAGTCCAAGCTGGCAATACTACCTTTAAATAACATGTTTCCATTAACTCCTTTAAAGCAAACAAATTAAAGAAAAGATTATCTTATCAATCAAGCACAGTCATCTGATGCATGATGGGATGCATGATGGGATTTGAAGTCCCTGTGAAATGGAAGTTAGAGCACCTTTAGCTACTGTACTGTTACCAGGCCTGCTCAGCTACGCAGCCAATTTTTCCCAGTGGTCACTCATGGTATTGCAGTGAAGAACATCTCCTGCTGCCCAAGAATCATTCTTTCTATTCTGAATTTTTGGGCCATGGTGGCTATATTTTTAAAACTTTACTCAAGCTAAGAAAAATTATTTAAAAATCTGTGACGTCATCACAATGTAAAGTCTATAAGTTGAGGGAGAACTTGCAGGCTGGGCCAGTGGGAGAAACACTACTGCACATATTCAGTGGGACTGTTATAATATTATGATCTCATTAAATTATAATTGCTCATGCATTAGTTGGTTGAAGGGGAGCTCATTTTGAACTATTAATTAATGCTTATTTTTATTATGGATTAATCTGCTGATTATTTCCTCCATCGTTTGATTGTTTGGTTTCTATAAATAGTAAAAAATAGTGAGAAATCCCTCTACAATGACCCAGAGTCCAAAATGACACTTCACAATGTTTGTTTTGTCAAACCAATAGTTCAAACCTCAACATTATTACTTCAATTATTACAATTATTAAAAGGAAAAAAAAACAGTAAATCTTCACACAAGTTTATCAAAAATCTATACAGTAATATAAGACACAAGCAGCTAAGCTGTGTCTATGTACTGTACAGGGCTAAATGGGTTTAGTTAAACTCTAACCCTGCTGGCTGCTGTCCCGCTCCGGCCCCAGAGGCCCTCAGGAGAGACATCTGGCGTGGTGGGACCATTTTCCACTAAGATTCACACGCAAATAGATTTGGCTAATGACGCTTTCTCGATGCACACACTCGAGACATCACCTGGCATCACGTAAGCGTCTAAAACCAGTGAGGAGCTGCCAAGTCGTTGACCAGAGACATCCCTGCCTAAATTTAATCTGGTTGCCAAAGCAAAATGTTGGCATTGTACATTTCTGCAAACCTAAGATAAGTTACATTTGCAAATTTTATATGTATCATATCAGCATTTCTAAAGTGATGTAATATTTGAACTGACTAAGGTGGAGGGGATGGTGGATGGTGTGTCACCTACAGTGGGGCGAGAGCCTGCAAAGCTGCAGACCACTGTTAAAGACCAACAAACAACAAAACCAGTTATGATTTAGTGAGTCATTGCTGTGTTCCCACAAGGGATTATTTCACAAAAAAGTGGTTGTTTTTTTTACTGAGACGTCCCTGCATTCAACACATTCTTGCTCCGAACTCATCACACATAACCGCATAACAGCTCTATTTCCTTTTTTTTAGCCTATTTTTTATGCACAGATGGAATTGTATGCATCTTACATGTTGTAGTTGCACACACAAAATATGGTGAACTGGGTTTTCATTATTGTTGTGTTTACAGACATGATTTATAACTGTTGTTAACTTGTTACACTTCCTGACCACTATGTGTCACTGTGAGACTGTGTGCACTAGATAGATGCAGGTGCTGTGTGGTGGAGGGATATGCTGAAAGAGAAGTACAGAGGTTGAGATGTATGCCACAAGTGTTGAGCGGTGTTAAATAAAGCGTTGAAAAGAGTACGCCCACTCCTTATTTCAGTTATCACTGTGACCACGTTTACAAGATGATATCACTATTTAAAGGACTTGTGTGTGGGGGTTTAGGGCAATATATTAACAGAAATGGAATATAATACATTAAATATGTTTTCTTTATAAACACCTGAAATTAAGAATTGTTGTGTTTTGTTATCTTCAAATGTGCTTTTTATATCTACATATGGAGGAGGTCCTTGTCTATGGACTCTACAGTAGCGCAAAATGGACATACCAAACAGTGGCTTTAGATAGGGTGATGTGTCATGTTGGCTACCATTTGCAGCCTCTGCAAGACGAGCTGAACAGCATTGGAAAAACACAGATTTTTAACATGAAACTGCTTAATTTAGTGTTTTTACCAGTTTAAACTAGAAGGTCCATTTGTTTTGGAGTGTAAGAGACCTCTGCAGATAATTGGGCTCCTGGTAAAAACCTCCTGAACACCTGGATCTGAAGTTATCAGAGAAAAAAGGTAAGCACACATTAGCAGGTGTTGAGCTAGTGGCCCGTCTGCAATGAGCCAGACAGCATTGGAGAAACACTAATGTGTAACATAACTACTTTATTTTGAGTTTTTACTGGTTTAAATCATCTGACATGTTTGTTTTGGAGAGGAGGAGACCTCTGGGGATAATTCTGTTCCCGGTAAAAACCTCTTTAACGATCAGCACTAAAGGAATCCTAACCAAGGGTTCATGTTCGGCACATGGTAGAAGTGTCAGTTGGTTGCAATCTGCAATCCTCACCACTAGATGCCACTAAATTCCACACACTGCTCATGTAACATTTATTTTGCGTACCCCCTCACTGAGTTGCTAACATGGCTGTAGACTTTCAGTCTTGGTAGAAGATTTTGATGCATTAACCCAGCATCCCATTCAGTCACACAAAGACATCCTCAATCCCTAACAGCTCTAGCCAGCCTGGAGCAGCAGAACAGAGTTTCACCGGGTTCAATATGAGTCCAGAGCAACCTGAGAGGAAAGATCCTCTTTTTAATACCTCTGCCCCCCTCTCCCTCCCAACAAACCAAAATAGCTCCAACAGACACACAATGTAGGAATGTTATTCACCCCTGCTAGACCTTTCAGGACCTTTCAAAACAAAGCGTGGGTCAGCAGTAATTGTGCCCAGTGCCCAGCAGCACCCAGGGAGCCGGGATCCTGTTTACACCTCTGCCAACGCCATCCTCCAACTGCTGTGACCAATTCTTGTAACTCCACCTGGGCCTGGGATCTGTTTCTAAGAAGCCTCAGAGGGTATTTTTATTCAAAAGTGAAGAGTTCTGGAAGATCAGTCTGTCAGGAGAGAGTTCTTCTCGAGAGGATTGTTAAGGTGATGATCGTGACGATGTGTGAGTGATGATTTCAGGGTGATGTGTGGAGCAGGGATTTGGCTTTTGTCTCCCATTGTTGTCACATGTCACTGTGGCCTGCAGCTGAGTTTGAGGTATATCCGAAGTCTTGGGTCTTGTGTCTGTTTTGTGACAAACTGACAAGAACAAAAATGGTTTTATAGATCTCCTATTTCACATGGAGTGGATTCAAGTTTCATAACCCAGATCATGGTGATTCATGACTGAAGTCTGCAGTTCTGCACTATGTATTCTGGAATAATGTATGAGACAAATGTCAATTTGAAACAATACATTAATACCAGGCATTCACACGGGTCCCATGTCAGTGCGCTATGTTAATGTGAATGTTTGTTAACTGCACTCCACACTGTCATTTTGGCCTTTTGTTAAAGAGATAGGGCATCTCAAAAGATTTCCTGGTTTATTAAGGGTTAGAGAAATAGCTTCCTAGCCAGCTAAAAACATAATTTGACAAGCTGGAAAACTGCACTTTGTTATAGTGCTTGGAACTTTTCTGAGGACAATGAAACTCTCCCAGGACTCCTTCAGTCTACGTTTAATTTAGATCTGAGACTCTACTCCCAGATCTTTTAAAAGGCAGTAGTGTGAACAAATCTTACAAACTCATAGTCTGTGAAGAGCAAGAGTTTTATATTTCATAATAAGTTTGTGTACTAATGAGATCTCAGGATCTTGAAGTTCTTGAGTTCAAGAGAGTGTGTTGTTCCTTTCTGCTTTGTCTGTGCGTACCAGCCACCAATGTACACACAGAAAGTGTTCCTCATAGATGACTGTCAGAGTGGTTTGCATCTGTGTTTCTATCAGACTGAAGATGTCTTTAAAGAGACGGCTGCTGTCCATGTTGTTGTGCTGTGTTTACTGCGTGGCCTCGCTCTTCTGCCTCCACCCAAACCGCAACAACTGCTTCTCTCTCGGAGCTCGGTGAGTCTCTTTATATCGGTTTAGTATGTAGACATCAGTACATTTAAAATGCTATGAATGCATAGAAGCTGTTAATCCAAACTTTTTGCCCTCGTGTCCCTTCAAATTGTCCCACATGCTCTATTAAAAGTTATAATTGAACCGATCTCAAAAGCCCCGTTTCCACCAGGCATTACGGTACGGTTCAGTTCAGTACACTTTTTTTCTGTTTCCATTGTGAAAAGTTGTGGATGGTACCAATGGAACCATCCGTACTGTCCCCATTTTTGGTCCCCACTCTGTTGGGGTACCTAGCACACAGATCTGGTACTAAAAGGTGGAGCTGTGAACACGGCACTGATTGGTCAAAGGTTATAGCTAACATTAGCTACATAAACATGAACTTGAATCAGAGGCAACCATGAGCCTTTGGCGACAGTTAGCAGTAGGGTTAATGCTACACGTTTTAAAACCTTTTCTGTTGTCTTTCATTCGTCCTCCATCAAAGTCTGTTTGCACTGATATGCTTTCATTTCTTTGGTGCTCTGCTCTCCTTTCTTGGACCATTTCTGGGATCATAGAGAGAGCCCAGGGAGGTGAGTACTATGTACACTGTATATTGTTCAGGGTGAACTATTCCTTAAAGGAGTTCCAGGACCTTGTATTGTGCATGCTGGCTCACTTGAATGGCTTTTCGGCACAGCCTCTCTCTCCTTTTCCCTCTCTGCTGTTTTAATTCTTCTTCTTTATTCCCATTATTCTTTCTCGCTCTATCCTCTTCTCTCCCCATTCTTCACTCTTCTTAACTTCTCTCAGGAATATGGTGTCAGTCGTGCAGCAGCTTTACCAGCGTGTCATTCGACTGCTGCGCCCCACCCTCTGATCAACAGCCTTTTAAACCAATAACTCCGGACCTGTCCTGCCACTGCGGCCAGTCTGGCTGTTATCAAGCATGCTCTCTGGAAGCGCATTACCAACTGAAAAGAAGAAGAAACAGAGGAAGAGGAATGGAGTGACTCCATTCTCGGACTGTGAAGTTTCCACCAGCTCAGTTTTCTCTGCACTGGACTCCAGTTGCTGTGCTGTGTTCACTGCTGCAATCCTTTGACTATATTTAAGATGAGGAGACAAAGAGTAGGCCAGTCTAAAAATGTTTATTTTTTTACTGATGTGGATTACTATTGTGAGTATCTGCTGTGTGAGATGTGAGTGAGGTGAAAAGGATGGTCATCTCTTAAATGCATTTTGAGGGTTCATTGCGAGCTTGGCTGCTGTGCTGTGTCCTACAAGAGCAGAACATTGAAGCTTAAAGAAACAGGCTCATTACCAGGAGGTCACTGGTTGAAATTCCTGGGCGAGATGGCATTATTGTTGTAGTGTGTGATGGTGCAAATCTTCTTCCCTCCGTTTACAACCACCACAGAGCACGGCAAAAAGTTTTCATTGGAGCTGTTTTGTAGCAGGCAGTAGCAGCTGTGGTGTTAGTGAAGTTATAACAAACTTATTCGAGGTCCAGAATTTAAGAACACCTACCTAAAGCCAACCTGCAAAGATCTTAAAAGAGACTGGTTTCAGAAAGGGACCTAAGATCCAATCCAAAAAGACCCAAACACAGAGAGTAGGATGCTCCACTAATTAAGGTGCAGCTGTTGTCGAAAAGAGTAGCAATGTCATTTCCCATGAAACACCATGTGATCAGAGTTTATTGTCCTCTTACAGACCTGAGACCTGCGGAAATACCACCGGGCCCTATCTTGTCCAAGTTAGACCCTTAATCTACTTAAGTACACATATGCCACGTCAACACTTGGCTTGTACTTTGCAAATATGTGGCACAGTTGTATAAAACAAGTATTTACTTCTTTGTGGAGGTGAAAGAGCTCTACAGGGGTAATACAGCAAGAGACATGTCAAATTCCATGACCTTGTTGTTGCTGCAATGCCCTTAACTACTATTGTATGAGTGAAACCGGTGACGAGAGTATATTGAGACGAGATCAAGACTTTGAAGGGTTGAGATCGGGTCAAATCTAACACCAGCACAGTATGAGTCCCACACGGGGAGATCCACATTCCCATAAAGACAGCCACAGAAAACAAATGAAGGTTCTTCTTCATTCACCTCTTATATTGCCTTGTGCTGTATTTGTGTTTGTAGACGTTTACCATGAGAAAAAGGGTTTCAAAAGTAAATTTTATGTGTTGGAATTTTCCTTTGTTTTCTATGAGCAAGCAAATGGAAGACAAACCCTATGGAGCCAAAAACAACTTTGCCATCTTTATTATTATTATTTTTTTTTTTTTTTTTTGCACTGGCAATTAAGTGATAACCCTGCAGTCTTTGTCTTGACTGGTCCTAAAATAAAATCCAGAGTCCTCTTTTCCTGAGACAAGGACAAGACTGAGTAAAAATGCAGTCGATTCCAAGACCGAGACCTTCAAAATGTGGTCTCGAGACCGGTTCTCGAGTGCTTCAACAATGTGTGAAACTAAACAGCTCTCGGTTGCATCGTAACAAGAATTTCAGGTGTCAAATTGCTGCACGCAACATTGTGTACTTTTACTTTTTCTTAGCTACATGCTTTCATGCTTTGGGCTTAAAAAGTATTTTGTTTTGCCAAATCCAACAGATACAACAGGAGCACACCGCAGCAGAAAAAGATGAAAACTGGCTTTTGACAGTGCAGCAGAAATGTGTATGACAGTGAGGTGACAATGCAAAGGAACTGACTGATTAGGTAATATTTTATAGCCTTAACTCTATAAACAGTACTCTGCTGCAGTGATTTGTTGCACATTTGAGCATGACTCTGGTCAGGCTGTGTGACTTTTTCCCATGTGTAACGTTCCCTCCATCACTATGATGGAGGGAACGTTACACATGCTTGGAAAAAAAAAATTAAGAAAAATCCTGTGGCTGGTGGATGATGGTGAATAAACAATTGTCTGTTGAGGTGACATGATTGATGACTTTAACTTGAGGTTCTATTTCTCACTGCAGTCAGTCATTGGGCAGTAGGCTATGTAAGGACATGCAGCAGGTGTGTCTGGATCCCTTATAAATTACCTGATGATGCAGATCTACTCTGATATTTAAGAAAACTAATAAAATAAAACAAGATTAAATTTCTTTCAAAGCCCATGTGTCATTTTATTTACCCCATTTATCTGACTGTCTATCTAGGTTGTACTTTCTCTATAATCTGTACTTATTTCCATCCCTGTGACGCTACCAGGGATCAGTGGAGGTTTTAATCTTGTGTAGGCTATCTCAGTATGATACAATTTAAGTCAACAGAACCACAAACTACAGAGTGAAAAGACATAATGTAAGAAATGAGAAGATTTGGGCTCACAGGAGCAGAATTAAAGGTGGAAGTGTCTGTACTGTTGGGGAAAATCTGATAAAGCGGATCCTGTAGGAGTTAACTGAGTCCACAAGATGGCGGCATTGCAACACCAAGGATGTCAGCTGCCGTTAAATCTCAAAGGAGAAGAAGAAGCTCGTTTGTGGCGTTTGACATTAGCTGAAATGGGAAGCTAACAGCGGGCGAGAAGTTTTCTGCTTGCACTTTGATTAAGTCAAGCTGCGGATATTTATTAAGTCATGGAAGACCAAGTGAAGTAGCAGGTTTCGGATTTTATCGACACTACAGGTACGTGACTTTTCGGCTGACTAGTTGCTAACTGATAAACTCGCTTAGCTGGCTACTAACGTCTACAAGTGTTAGCTGACTAGCCGTTAGGCTAGCAGGAGCCATCTGCTGTAAGCTAAACGTCAGGAGGAGTTGGGACGGCCATCTCTATGTAATAAATTAAAAATTTCTTCTTTTTTTTAAAAATGTACATCATAACTAAAAATGATTATTTATATATTGTTAATAAAGTGGCGTCTCTGTTGATCATATGACAAGCGTTAACGATTATAAATAACTTAATTTAATTCTCGTGACACTGTTGCTGTCACAGAGCTGTCAGTCATGGCTTGCCCTCCCGGCGCACCAGCCAATAGAATCGCTGAAGCATTTGATTGACAGAACTCACAGCCAATAGCAACGCCACAACAAAACACGATAGCTCCCTGCTCCGAACTGTGCACAGGGCGTCTCTTTCCGGCGCAGTATGCTGGGATGCTGATGCTGAGGAGCCTCGTTGATCTGTAGCCCCATTTGGATCTCAAATGTTTATCGCCATGTTGTATTGTCTGAGGTTGCAGCACTGTGTTGACCTCTGTCTGGGCTGCCTGCTGTTGTTTCTAGCGGGGCTGCAGCAGGTGGAAGCAGCCGCCGCCGCGGAGATGGCAAACTTGAACTGGAAGCCGTTCATCTACGGAGGGATGGCCTCGATTGTCGCAGAATTTGGTAGGCTACGTGATGCACCACGACATGCATAGTCCATACCGTTTTGTAGTGTTACTCTACATGCATTGTAATGCCATGGCAGAACATGTTCTTGCGCAGTCTTTTGAATTGAATGTATTTTCAGACATAGGAAAATTCTGCATCAGCACCTGCTCAGTGATGGAGGCTTCATAAAGGGGGCGATGCATCCAGCTGAATACATATCAAAGCTCTTTTTGTGCACATTATATTTGCTGCCCTGCAACTACAGATAAGTTAGGATTCAGACAGGTTGTGGGTACATATCCACACTGCTTACTTTATATTTTGCACAATAGACAGCTAGTTTCACAGGAACACAGTAATTAACCTGGCAGTTTGCCCCAGTTTGCACCTCTTAGGTACAATTATTACATTTCAGTCACAAAGCTAGGATCAGTTATAAATTATGATTATCTAGATTGCCTGCTGCATGATGAAAAAGCTATTTTACCTATTTGTTGTGACTCTTTTTGGTAACCGGGGCCCTAAGCCAAATATATATTCATATGGTTTCTATTTATGTGTCATATTTGTCATGTTTTTTACAAATTAAGAAAGGCATAATGTAATTTCCAGTACCTGAATAGGAGCTATAACTTGGCAAACAGGTTAGAATATTTTTATTTTATTATAAAATGCATCATTCTCTGACTCAAATTTAATGATGATACATAGGAGGTCAAAACTGGTGCTGCCTGGCAGTGTGAATTTGACTGTAGTGCTAAATTTCCTCTATACCTAATCACTGTACTCAAACATTTCTATAACTCTAATCACTTCATTTTCTTATTTCTAACCCAAACCCCCCTCATATTTACTTATATTTTAATCCCTAGGGACATTTCCCATTGACCTGACTAAAACCAGACTACAGGTCCAGGGTCAGTCTCAGTACACGGAGGTGCGTTACAGGGGCATGTTTCATGCCCTCTTCAGGATTGGCAAAGAGGAGGGCATCCGAGCACTCTATTCTGGGTAAGGATATTTTTATTTAGACTCTGTATCAACATGATATTCGACGTGTACACACAATTTGTCACTGCAGCTTATTTTTTAAGATCAGATCAAGTGTCTTTGGACTTTGGAGCACAGTAGCAAGATACAGTGTGTAAGGAAGTGAAAGTGTGTAAAAAAAGTAAGTAAGATAAGCTTTATTTATTTGGCACTTTTTAAAACATACAGTCACAGAGTGCTTCACACACATACATGAAAAATATAAATAAATGAATAGAGCAAGTAAACATACCATACTAGAACAAACAAAGACATAACACATAAAGAAGCTCTATAGAAAGTCTTCCCCATAAAGGTGGGTTCTTCATAGCTGTTTCAAACAGTCCGAAGATTCGGTAAATCTAATGGACTAGGAAAGATGTTCCAGAGGGTTGGAGCTAAAGCAGCAAATGCATGATCACCCTTTGTTTTGCGATTTGAGCAGAGGATGGATAGAAGGCCGAGATTTGAAGAAGAATGACCGCTCTGAGAATGAGGAACAAGAAGATCAGAAATGTAACTGGGGGCAAGGCCATGCAGTGCCCATACAGGCTTAAATTTCCTATTAGTGCGACACTAAATGGAGATGAATTGCTGCTGTATTCGCTGAACTATTGCTGTACTGGTAGATTTACATGAAATAGACGGTATGGGCATGGGTGGCATCAATAGCACCAGTACAGTTCAGTTGATGTGCTTGTTAGACGGAGTAATGGTGTAAAGTTAATACAGGACAACATGGTTCAACCTTGCACAATCTGCTCTGGACCACCACTCATGATACTGTAATAATAACTAATAATAAGATTGCCGTAGCTACAGGAAAGGCTGCCTGTCTACTCTTCACAGTTTACCTGTGGATCTTTGTCAATGGCTTTAAACTAGATTCAGTCATAAATTTTAAGGGGGGATTCTTAGAAGAGGTCATTAGGATTTCATTAGACTTTCAGCAGTAGGAACTCTTAGTTCCAGGAAGGAGTGTGAATATAACCCCAGATGCCGTGCCCCCAGAGGGAGAGAGCCTTCAGTTAAACACCTGTTAGGTAAATCTAGCGACTTCTGTTTGCTACAAGCTTGCGGCATGCTCCATGCTGATGGAGACAGCATGTGCTCAATATGATATGCAGTAATAAGCTTTGCAAAGAGAGCTGTTACACTTTGTGGGTGGCTGAACTGTGATATTGCCGAATCCAACTTGAAAGGAGCCCAGTGGGACAGGAAATGTATTCCAAAGCTTCTCTTTGACTTATAAAGCAGCAGGTGTGATTCAAGTGTTTAGCGTCTACAGTTATTAAGATTAATCTCTGCTTTTTAGGTAATAGACAATAAGCCGGGATTTCATGCTCCTCACTAAGACTGACATTTTGCATCCTAAGCCACATGAACATAGGCAGGTGAGGGAAGCAAATGATGAGCACTCCTTCCTCTGCACCTGCCTTCAGTTTTACCCCTAAGGGTAAAGACTACTAACATATTTTACCTCTCCTCTCAGGATTTCTCCTGCTCTGTTGAGACAGGCATCTTATGGGACAATCAAGATAGGAACCTACAACTCTCTGAAGAGGCTGTTTGTCAGTCACCCAGAAGGTGAGTGTTGACCATTTCTGCCTCTGACACCCTGTCTTCTACCTTTCTGCTAAACTCTTTTTAAGGCTCTAAACTTACAGTCAGCCTTTTTAATTCACAGGCTTCAGTTAGTTAGTGTCACAGAAGTCCTGTGAAACCTTGAAAGCATTTTAACTACAAGATATTTGTCTGTAAAAACAGTTGAGCTCAGCTCATATTTGCATTGTGGCTTTGACTGGTTTGAGGCCGTCTCCTGCAAACCACTCCTGGTCTTTAAGCATCGATTAAAGCCCTGACCCAACTATAAAACCCTCGTGGCCCTCCAGCACCACAATGAGCAAAACTCTTTCAATCCAGCTCAATTACAGTCGAAGAACCAACCCCAAACAGCTGAGGGAAGAGTACTGTAGCAGCAACAGCAACGAATTTGGCAGTAGTAGCCCCTAAGTCATTTTCTCAAATTTACATTTTAGTGTGTTAACTGATGCTGTTATCTAGAGTGAAGTATCGTACGAATATTGTTGAATACTTTGACAAGTAGCCAATTGTGCAGTGGTGAATGGTGCACTGTTGATTGATGGCTCTATCATGCAGTAAAGGTGGCAGATAACTGTCAGCACTGCTATATACTGCACTACCTTTATTTTGTACTGATGAATGAATGCATGGGGGGTGGGGAATCTACCTTTTTTGGTCCTGCTGAAAATGAAAACAAGTTAGGATGTACTTCTCAATATAGACTGACACTTATCAGGACTCACTGCAGTCAAATATGCACAATTTATATCCAGCCAAAATATTTTAAATGTATAGTATGGTATAATAAATAAAAAGCACGCATTTGAAGTTGATGTAGTTTGTAAAATTGTTCTTAAAAGTACCAGCTGTAAATGTAGCAGTGGTGGAATTATCCGCAGAGGTCTCTTCCTCCGGAAAACAAACAAGCCAGGTGATTAAAACCAGTAAAAAACACTTAATAAAGCAGTTTCACGTTAAAAATGAGTGTTTCTGCAATGCTGTTCGGCACAGCAGGGGCTGGAGCTGAACTGCTGCTAACATTTGCTCAGCTTGTTTCTCTAGTAACTTACGATCCAGATGTTAAGCAGGTTTTTACCAGCAGCCGAATATTCACAAAAGTCACTTCTTCTCCAGAACAAATGGACTCAGTGATTTAAACTGGTAAAACCACTGAATAAATCAGTTTCATGTTAAAAAATAAGTGTTTCTCTGATGCCGTTTGGCATGGCAGGGGTTGGAGCAGAGCTGCAGCTAACGTTTGCTAGCTAGTTTCTCTAATAACTCAAGATCGTCAGACATCCAATGACTGAAATGCAGCCTAAAACTAGATTAAAAATAGTCAAGTTATGACAGCTTCTGACAGACACTGCAGCCCTGATGCATGCACAAAGAGGATATAATGCCACTGACAGGCGATGCTGACTAAATGGCACATGATTAAAATTAGATTTCTCTAGGTTTAAACATTGTCAGAAAGTTCTGGGATGATCTGAGTATGCAGCTCAAAAATATACAACATTGGTGTAGTTGTTTCTTATCATATCTTCTTTTGGCTTTCAAAAAATCGTTTTTTTAAGCATGTTTATATCGACTTAACAGTCAAAAAGTTTATTTCTGATGCTGCTTATATTGCATTTTGCTTCTCCTTATATCTCACACTGGGATTCTCTCTTTCTCCTTCCCTCTGGTTAGACTCAAAACAGCTTTGGTGCCTTAAACAGTACAAACTCCCCGTGGGCCTTCTCTCCTCTTTTGTATACATTTGGCTCTGCAGGCAGGTTGAGTGTTTTGGAGTCACTCAGTGGGTGGTAGGTTGCTTCTGGTTGCATTGCAGAGATGGATGAAAAAGAATGTAAGGTGTGTTTCCCACAGTTACAGTCATATGCAGCAGTAAAACTGTATGTTCCTTTGAGTGTATGGCTGGGCTGCACACCCCACATCGGGACAACCTGTGTTAACCTGCCCACAAGCAGATTGAGCATGTTAACCTGCCGGCACTAATTTGCAAGCTAAATAAGAGACAAAGAGTCTCTAGGAAGGAAGGGAGAAATGGAGAGATGGATGGATGGATGGAGGGGGAGGAGTGGAGACAGAGAGAGAGAGAGGCAAGGGGAGGGGCGGGGAGAATGAGAGAGTGAGTCAGGCTACATTCACACTGCAGCTGTAAGTGCTCCGATGTGCTTTTCCCCTGCTATGTGACATCGATCTCATATGGAGCACATATTCTATATGTTTAATTGAAATGGAAATCTTCCATCATTTAACACTCAAAGAGCCGACGTGCTGCTCAAAGAGACACTTCAAATCAGTCATAACTTCAAGGCTTGTAGCATGGAGAGAGATGGAAAGAAACCAGCTTGATTTATATAAAGTAGAGCTGAAAGAATTAGTTCATTAGTCGATCAGCAGGTGAAAAAAATGCTAAACATTGTCCGGTCTCAGCTTCTCAAATATGATGATTTCCTGCTTTTATTCATCATACATAATTTTAGCATTGTTCTAAATTGAATATCGAGCAAAACAAGACCTTTGAAGATGCCACACAGGACACAACACAACAAAATGAGTAATTGATAAAATAATAGAAACACTAATCAATAAATAATGGTTGGTTGCAGCCCAAAACTAGAGCACTTAATTGTCGGTCATTACCATGTGGCTTTTGTTGCCATGAATAATAACTATGTAATTAGGACTGTGCAGTAAATCATGCAACTCTTTGTGTTTTGAGCATGAATTCTAAAAACATCGAAGTGGATCAGTTTTTGTCATTCATACTTTGCATATATGTCATTTTTTATCTCTGTTTTAATTTCTGCACTGCTTTATGTATTAGAGTCACATTTTTAGTTGCATGATTTTCTTTTTATACATATTTAATGAGAATTGTCATTGCCAACAACTGCTTGTGCAAATTGTGCACATATCAGTAAAGAACTTGAAACTTTGAAACAGGGAGCCATTTCACTCATCAGCCAGATGAATTTGCGGCACATTTAATAGTGATTTGCCAGCACCGGAATGTTTCTGAGACTGACAGGAAGTTTCTTCTATTACGTCTGCTTTTTTTATTTGTCATTTCTCTTTTCCCATTAACTGGTCCATCTGCCTTTCACTGTCTCTGTCATTTCTTTGTTGTCTGTCTTCCACTTTCCTCCTGCTCCTCTCAACATTTAATGGCCAATTAGTGTACATACAGATAATATGAATAATAGAGTAGATCAAGGTAGGAGAACAAATCTGAGAGATTGACTGGAATGAAAGAGTGGAGCTGGATGTTGTTCTGCTGTCATAACTCAGTTTTGACCAAATTTGAAGTTACTGTAATTAGCAAGCAGTTAAGCAGTATACTATACTGAAATAGGCTCATATAATGTGAAAAGTAGATAAGTGATGGTAGCAGGAGGGAAAGAAATCAGGGGGTGAAGAGTTTTGTTCTTAAGGCTTAACTTTATCTCTTAAGTGTGTGTGTGTGTGTGTGTGTGTGTGTGTGTGTGTGTGTTTTGTCCAAACACAATTTTTGGGGGGTTCTGTTGATTGTTCTGCCCTCTGCCACAACATTGCCACTCTGTTTTTAATGCTTGTCCTGATACAGGCTTTGCTTTGCTCTGCGGTTGTGGTGGGATCGAATGCATCTCTCACCTGCCCAAAAAAAGAGCGGCTCCAGGACAGCCACACTAACTGTTGTACAGGTTGATCAAGGATCTCTGTAACTATTGCTCTAAAATTATTTGTCTCCTCCTCTTTTGTAGACACCATACTGGGTAACTACTAATTAGATCCACCGCTGACTAACAAACTCTGCCGAGGCTAATTGCTAACAATGGTTCCCGTCTGTTTAAAGCCAATGTAGAGAGAGTGCATTCTCTCCAATCATGAGAGTGAGACCACTGTGGGAAATAAAAGGCTGTTGTTTAACATACAGTTAGCTTCACCCATGTGGTGCTCCAAGTAGGTGCAAGCAAATATGACCACTAAATGAGATGTAATGATTTCTTAAACTCCCATAAACCTCTGCCTGTGACCAAAATACTGCAAACTTTTAGTAGTAGACGATTATGCTTGAAATAATTGTCTATAAAATGCTTTTTGTCCTTTCTTACTTTGTTGTAGCAACATATGTTCAGAGCATAAAAGACAATCATAGAATGCTTATCTCTTGTAGTGTCATTTTCAACACACACAATTTGAGTCTTGTTTGGGTCTGTTTATATTTATTTATTTAAGTATTAAGATCCAAAAAGTGCATACCTACCACAACAAAAGATTTGATGAACTAAAGCAAAGATCAGATTTAAATCAGGTGATTAAAGCACATATAAGATGTTTTAAGGGGCTGATTCATGTCTCATCCCTTTACGTTGGTCTTCTCATTACTTATTTATTTTATTTTACTAATGTATTTGACAGGGCGGAGACGGTCTGCACAATTTTAAGAAAGGAAAAAAAATCAGTCAGTCAGTGGTTCCTGTTGTTCTTTGTTAGTTGGCAGGACTCAAGTGTGTCCACATATTTCTGTGCTGATATTCTCAGACATTATTAAAACCAAGATATCTTTTGTAACATTATTTTGCCTACACCCATCTGCCAAAAACGTAGTTCAGCAGGGGTGTGTTGTGTTGAATAATTACACAAATGCTTTGTCCCAATCCAAATCAACTATTGTATTGGGTTGCAAAATTCCAGGAATATTCAAGGTGCAAACTTTCCATGAGAACTGATAAAATGTACAGGAAGTTGTGGGAAGAAAAAAAGGAAATATGAAGGTTATTTGCTCAGGTTGTATTTGCCGTTTCATACACAGATAGGAACCTTTTCCTATATCTTATGCAGCCATAATTCATTAATTCGTCAAAAATAAATCCACAAATTAGTCAAATTTGAAATGTGCCATGTAGTGGGCTAGCTAGTAAATTTGAGCCAACACTGTGTGTGCAAATGTAGGGTTGAAAGTGAATAACTGTTTTGTAAAATACATTTTTTACAATTAAAAAATAATGGTGTAAACTCCTAACTTAGCATGCACAAGCAGAAACAAACAGAAGGTGTTAAGTAATAAATTGTGTACTTTTATCTGCTGGTTAACTAAAATATAGCATAAAAATATGAATATATAGATTCTCCTTTCATGGGCTGCACATGAGATAGGACAATGCATTGTGCTTGCAGAGGGTTGTAATTTCACTAAATTCCTATTTAATGGGATGCTGGTAAATCGCCCTGCACATGTGATAGAAGAATGTGCTGCTGAATGCACTGCAATGTACAATTCAATTAACAAGGCATACTTTCAACCAAAACATGGTATGTTTTAAATATTTTCTTGCATTTCTTTCCCCAATAAGTTCACTATTAAAAGGTATGCTTTTTATATAGAAATTGTACAGAATTCCCAAGCTTTACTATCCTTGGATATTTCTGGAAATGTACCAACCCTTCGCAGCTCAAATTGAAAATGACACACTGTTTCTTTAAGTGGAGAGCATGCATGATAATTTTATGATCTATGGAAATAACATATCATCCCTGTAGACTTAGTAAATAAAAGGCTAATCTTAATGTGTTTGTGTGCTTTTGGTTGCTTTTGCCCCATGTGTGTTAATTAATATACTTCCTTGTGCCTTTCCTGCCAGATGAGACCATGGTCATCAACGTCTTCTGTGGTGTCGTGTCTGGAGTCCTGTCCTCTTCTCTGGCCAACCCCACCGATGTCCTCAAGGTGATTCTCAATGCTTGGGCACAAGGCTCAGACTAAACTATCTCTTCACCAATATATCAATCAAGACCAGCCAATGTCATTCACTTTAAGTCAATGAATAGTGTAGTGTCTTTACTCCTACAGCTACTTAAAAAGTGTCCTTACTCCTAAACTCAGACCCTGAGTGAAGTGCTGGCTTGTAAATTAGGGACTAAAACACTGTCTTTGTCTGTGTGTGTTTCTTTTTGTTCCAGATCAGAATGCAGGCGCAGGGCAGCCTGCTCCAAGGCAGCATGATGTCCAACTTCATCAACATCTACCAGACAGAGGGCACCAGAGGGCTTTGGAGAGTGAGTGCTGGATGTATAGGGATGTGTATGTGTAGTGTGCATGTATGTGGAGAAGTAGTGATACTGTGTTCCAAAATGGCGTCCCATTCATTCATTTAAGATATTAATTTTTGTGACGAAACATAAACTCGTTTTTGACACTTAATTCTAAGTACATTTGTATATTTACTACAGCCAGCTTTACAGATCACATCATTAAAGCCAAACCATTCATCTTTAAAGCAGTTGAAATCTATTTTCTTATAATAATTTAAATGTGAAAACAATATGAAAGGGGTTGCTCGTAGTGATGAACCTCCAGAGAATGATCAGCTGAATCTGCAGTTCCCCTCAGCTTGACGGAGCCTTACAGTGAGTTTTGGCCAACTGCTGATCTGTCTGGCTGCTACTTTACCGTTCTGGTTCACTGTCATAGTGTTGCTCAGTCAAAAAAGCTGTAAAAACCCACTATACACCACCTGCTCTGTACTAAACAGCAGATAGATACAGTAAGAGACTAGCTGGTAGGTTCTGGTGGTATCTATTTTTTCATACCTTACTGTAACTTCACTGGGGTGTACGGTATATGACGATATTAGCTTGTGGTGCTACATTGTCCCCATCTCTGAACGTCCACTGGCGAGTTTGCTCCTTCCACAAGATCTCCCACCTTTTTCAGTCTATTAAATAAACAATATAAACTCACAAAACGACAAGATAAATTTAGTATTATCACTCTATTTTAAAACTAGAAATACAGCTGTACACCTTATGAATTCCAGTTTCACCAAACTCAGACTAACGTTAGCTTAGCTGCCTTTTTAAATTCCCCTGTTCCCTCACCACTCGGAGTCAGGGTATCTGTCAGCTCAGCCACCTGCTCCACCCGACCTCTGGTGGCGCATGATGTGCACTACATACAATGAGTTTCATAGAGAGAGGAGCGCCTGTATAACCCAGTGTAGTGTCATACCTTAATACTTCTAGCTGGTGAACATGGAGGAGCATTTAGCAGCTAATGAGACATGTCCTATACAGAGATTGGCACAGGACATGTTTAACAAAGCGCCGCACAAAGTGTTGAAGCAGGAGAAAACAGCCGACCAAAAGCTTCAACATTACCTTATTTACATGTTGTGTTATTTGATAATATGAGCTTGTTGTATGTCAACTCAGCATTTTCGTCAGTGAGTTGTACTGTGATAGTTTAACCATCAGACTTATTTTCTTCATCCTCCTCCTCCTTCTCCTCCTCAGGGTGTCATTCCCACAGCACAGCGGGCAGCCATCGTCGTCGGAGTGGAACTTCCTGTCTATGACATAACAAAGAAGCACCTGCTTCGCTCTGGCCTCATGGGAGACACCATTTTGACACATTTCATGTAAGTTTTATTTTTTATTAGTAGGGCTGGGTATTAGCTCTCAATACCTTTTTTTTAATTGATACCCAGACCTAATTCTTCAGGTCAGGGATGGTCATCCTTTGTGATCACACAGTATGTCTTTGGCTGCAGTGCACAGATGTCTTTTTGTTTTTTATTTTTGAAGAGGTCAAGTCAAACTTAAGGCGTACAGCAAATTTAAAACAACCGCAGTTCACTGAAGTGCTAAAGGTTTCTTGGCATGGTCTGATAACCTTGCTCTGTGTCTTGTTGTTTGCACAGTTCAAGTTTCACGTGTGGCTTGGCGGGAGCGCTGGCCTCCAACCCCGTGGACGTGGTCCGGACCCGTATGATGAACCAGCGAGTTTTGTCGGGAAGCCCCATGTACAAAGGAACACTGGACGGAGTGATGCAGACGTGGAAGAACGAGGGCTTCTTCGCTCTCTATAAGGGATTCTGGCCGAACTGGCTGAGGCTGGGGCCCTGGAACATTATTGTATCCTTTAAAACCCATTGGTTGTTGGTATTTTAAGTATATTTTGATACTAATACTTTTGTATTTTTACTTATGTAAAATAATGAATGCAGGACTTTTATTTGAGTATTTCTACATACTGATACTTTTATTCGCGTAAAAGATCTGAGTTCTTCTTTCTCCTCTGATGCCATGAGACAATATAATATTTTCAACTGCACTATTTGCAATGCAGTTTTCCTGAAATAGCTCTGCCTTTATTATCTCTAGTTATTACATACATTGTGTTGCAAATCAATTAGGTGTGCTTCATTACAACATAGTATTTTTATATGATTTTAGCTGTATGACATATGTTGGTTTGACAGATATTTAATCGGCATTCCTAGCTGTATATTTTCAGAAGCAGTTTTGTAGTTAGTTTTCTGTAACTCAGTTTCTGTTACACTAATATTGATAGACATAGAATGAGCATTAAAAAGAGGGATAGAAGCCATAATTCATGCAAAATAAGACAGGACATAAACCCCACTCAGTAATAATAGTAACATTACATGCACAGAGTGCTTCACGTGAAAATAGACAAACATAGAATGAACATAAAACAACAACAGACAACAAGGCAAGTCAGTATAAAAGAACTGGGGCTTCTCCTGAGTTTTAACTGTGAAACCAGTGACTCTAAGAACTGTGCGTTCACACTGCTTACACATGACTTCTTCTGTTCAGTTTCCTGTCAGACTGCCCTTCTGCGTTACTCATCAGTAACAAGAAATGGAGCTCTAATTAATTAGTGACCTAAACACTTGCTTAAACAGCAAACTGTGGGCTCCTCTGTCCATCAGTGCTTAACAGTCTGCAGTGGCAAACTGTGGGTTGTCACTTGTCATCAATGCCTAACAGCAAACAGCATATTGCTAGGTGATTTTATCCATTTTGCCTGTTCCTTTGTCAGCGTGTCAGTGTTAGATTTATTTAATTGATTGCTCATCTTAGTTTTTGAAAAGTTTACTTGTCCAGGCACTCTTGAGGCTCACTGGGGCTCCTCCTTTTTCCTGGTGGGGTTTAATTGTTGAAAATTATAATTAGTGAGTGACGGCCTTTGTAAACTGAGTACACACATGCATCTATATGCATTTTTAAAAAAAAATCATACGCAGAGAAATCTTGCACACTGAGTCAGATGCATTTTATTGTTTTATTTGTTGTGAGAGAGATAGTGAAAAGACACATTTCCTCCCATGCTTCTCTCCACTGGAGATACCTACCTGGCTGGCATCACTGTCTCGCTGTATCTTGCATTTGGCACCACAGCTACATGAAGGAGCTGAGCTGTCCTCTCCCTCAACTCTTTGACTCTCTCTGTCTGTGTGTCCTCCTCCATCATCAGCCTGCATATTACTCTCTGATCTACTGAAGTAGCCTGTTTGAGTAATGAAATGATGCTGTGCGACCTGTTATCCTGTCTTGTCGAAGACGTGTCACACTGCCAAACATCTCTCGAAAGGCATGTGACTTATGTGTAAAACATAGAAAATCAAACCTGAATTTATCTTGTGACCCATAACAGTACAGAAAGTAAACGCAAATGCTCAGAAATACCTTTTTTTTTGTCCATTAAATTGCAAAACTGTATGCAGCTATGCTCAGTGGCCATATTTCAGACGTTGTGTTTGAGCAGCTTCAGCCCGTTTACTGTTGTGATAGAAATCATGACGCTTTCCTTAACACACATCTCAGTTCTTCATCACCTTCGAGCAGCTGAAGAAGCTCCCATTTTAATGGGAACAGGAAGTGGGACTTCACTGGTCTGTTAAGACTGTGTCGGGCATAAGTGGGGTGTGAGCACGGCAGCACCTGGAGTTTTGGCACCAGTATATTCACACTCCCTTCAAATTCATACCAATGATACAATATTAGTCATCTGCCCATGCTCATCCAAATCTTATGTTGATTTCTCTCTCTCTTTGCAATGTGTTTTATTTATTGTCACTGGTTGTGTTCTCGTACTGTTTTAAGGACTGTTGCTTTGGTGACTACGCTCACCAACAGCGACCTCCGACACTCCCCAGGCAGCTAAATATTTGGTTGTAGCAGAAGACTGAAAGTTTGGAAGACTAGGTTCATTTTCCTCGGGCTGATTGGGTGAGTGGAACCTTGTGAACTTTGGCTTATCTTAAAAAGACAAAGAGAGAGGACACTTGTGATTGTTTGCTCAGGAATCCTACACAGAAAAACATGGGAAATAATTTTAATAATAAGCTTAGGAATTGCAGAATGTCAGGTCACACATATGCAGGTTGTGGAGTTGTTGTTTTTTTTTTTAAAAAAAGAAGAAGATAATGTTAAATTTTAAACTGAATGATATGTAGGAACGCTGTATTTTGAATGCACAGGCACTACATGAAACATGCTTGGATTTTACTGCTGAATGTTGAGGAACTGTTTGGAAGAGTGGTTCAAATAGGAAATCAGCTGTTACTGTTAGTTACTGTACTGTGAGAGAGAGCCGGAGTAAGACACTGACAGAAAGTAGGAAATGAACAGGTCATTAGTGCTTAACGTCTGTATGGAAAATGAAACTCTGAGATATCTTGTGATCTCTGGTACATTGAGGTGTTAAGAAAAGGTGTCGCACAGCATCTGACGTGCAGTTTTTAATCTTTAAATGGGTCAGTTGCCAGAAAATCACTCTGAATTTTAAAGTTGAAGAAAAAAATAGTCAGAACTTTTTTATTTATTATTTTTTAGGAGGAGAAATTTCCACATAACACAAATTCTAAACATCTAAAGAAGACACTGAAGTTTTACTTGAAAATATCAGAAATCTTAACCAAAGCCTCTCATGACAAAAGGGAAACACTTTTACTCATATTCACAACCAAAAGGTCTTTTTTTCCTTTGTTTTATTTAATTTCAAGGAAATACTCAATCAAGAGCAATCACTCCACTTCACTTTTTTTTGGCTTTGTTTTGTTCTCCTCCAGTCTGCTGCTGATTCGGAAGCGAAGCTAATGCCATTATTAACCCACATGACAACAATCCATTACATACTGTTAATCGCTGTACAGACTCAATCACACAGAGAGGTGGATGTATTTTATCCTGTCATGTCCAGGTGCACATATGATGCCTTGTTGCGCTATTCTTACTGTTGTGTTCCTCCTGTTAGGTAAAGTCACAGCATGAAAGGAGGCAGCTGGTGTGGACAGAAAGTGCAAAATAGTGCTTTTGTGCCAAACTGGGTTTGATTTTATTTGCAGCTACTCTGAGTCCACATAAAGTTTTGTTTTCAGAAGAAACTCGTAGCTGGAAACTGTCAGACACTATAGTTTGAAATTGAAAACATATTTTAAATTTGTGAATAATATCTTTAAATCAAAACAAATGCAGTTTTAACCACTTGAATTTTTATTTAGTTTACGAGGATCCACAAACAATATATGTGTTTGACTTGTACAGAACATGAGTGCAGTTTCCACGCCAGGTTTTTTTTAATTATATTTAATTATTTTGTAGCAGTTTTGATTTTTGTTTTTAAAGTTGAAGGTATTTATTTTCTGACATAATCAAAAGTTTCCCATTGTGGCAGCAGTTTTGTGTGGCATCATAGCTTGTCATCAGATGGGTCTCCCGAAATTATCTTCATCTTTCTTCTTTATTTTGACTGCACAGACATGCTGGACTCTATGACTGAAGGACATTAAAAATACGATTTATAGCTTCAACAGAGCTGGTACTTCTACATATGTACTGCTGTAGGCAACTCTGCTGTTTAGCTTCAGGCTTGTTATAGTTTAGTAGCAGACTGTAAAGTAGCTTGGCTCTGTCTTGGTCATAATTCACTGGATCACCTTATAGTTTGCTTTTATCTATAAAGGGATACTTTTGGATTTTGCAAATCAGGTTTTTCCTCTTCTTCTGCTCTCGATTAAAAACGCACATGATGTCCTTTTACCCTGACGTACATCAGCTGTCATCATAGCTGCAGAAATGTCACAATGTTGTATTTTTTTTAATTGAACCTGACTGCAGAATCCAAATTAAACCCAGTGTAAACCTTATTTCTTAGTATCATTATTTCAAAACTCTCCAGTGGGATTTATTAGTTCATCCTCTGTTTCCTCAGTTATGGTTTGAGCTGGCATTTTAGCGTGCAGTCAGGACACAACTCTCAACTTTTGTGCTCAACAGTGGAGTGGGTTTGAAAGGCCACAAGGTTCTGTGTGTGTGTGTGAGTGTGTGTGTGTGTGTGTGTGTGTGTGTGTGTGTGTGTGTATGTGTGTGTAATAATAATAATAATAATAATTTGCACATAATGAGGCCCGAAACACATTTTAACCAACAGAGTGAGGACATTTTGGGAAAGTGAGAACATCTTTGTTAGTCTTCACTTCTTCAAACACTTCACTTTTTCTGTTTGAGGGTTAAGACTTGGCTTTAAGGTTCATGTTACTGTAAAGGATGGACACTTTAAGGAACTTCCATGTCCCAGTCCTAGCTATAGATTATTAAGAGTACTTGAGTACTTCCTTAAAAAAATCTAATGTAAGAATAGGAAAGTAAATTGGCTAACAACAAAAAACAAATGCAATTTTAAATGTATTTATTCACTCTATTAAACTATAAATTTAAAGTTAACATGATAAAAATCAGCAAACTTTCTGTTGCTGCTGTGACATAGGTTAGACATTGTGCTGAAGGACTGTCCTCAAGCTTTTGTCCTACTAGTCAGTTCGACGTCTGCCCGGTTTAGCACAAACTAACATCTGACTTTGAGCCATTTAATGGTCCCAACAAACTCACACTGACACTGAAATGGCTCGACTCAGTCCCATTAATAACTGTTACTGACTCTTACTGTTACTAATGTTAGCTGTGTAAAGCTATCACTGTGTGTGTGCGTGTGTGTGTGTGTGTGTTTGTATGGGCGGACCTCATGGGCAGAGCTCACATTCCCACAGCAGTAGTCTCATGATAAATGCAGGAAGGAAGGAAACGACAGCAGGGCAAGGATGCAAGTACTGTTGTCCAAATTAGTACTTAAGTACTCACGCCCATTTCTAGTTGCAGCTAGGTTTAGGTAAGGGTAAGGGTAAGGGGCTAGGGAATGCATTATGTCAATAAGGGTCCTCACAAAGGTAGAAGTACAAGAATGTGAGCGTGTGTGTGTGCGCGTTGGGGTCTATCGTTGGTTTGCCTTTCTGGTGATGTTGGCGTGAAGTTATTTTAATAATAGAGTCCTGGGAGAGTTGTACTGTTGCAGCCTTATGCTTTACAGTGGTGACCTGTTAATGATATCACTGATGCCTCATTAACATTGAGTGTGTGGGTTTTCCTTTAGATATTGTCTACGGATTTTAATCACAGTTCTCACTATTGAAATTAAACTATTAAGTGCATCTGTGAGGAGATGTGTTCGGTGTTACCTCAGCTTTCCTGAGCCATTTAAACAGTCGGTTAGCAATTCTGCATATTACTCGAGTACAGCAGAGTATCAGGATATCTGCAACCTACGATTAATCTATTTATCTATGTATTAATTCACCTTCCTATAAAGTGCGTTTAGACTCGGATCATGTTTATTTGAAGTTTAATCGGCTTGTTGAGTAACCATAATGTTACAGAGTTAATCTGAGTGCAGGGGTTTATCACTGGAATAGAGTGGGTTTTTTTAGACTAAGGTCCAGGTTGAAAAATCCTTAAGATACCCTTAAACATCATTCTCAAATGTGTCACATTGGTGTGGACGTTATTGAACGTGTAATTTCTGCCAGCCAATAAGTTACAATCATGTCACAACATATACGCACAATGGATGCTGAATCTCAAATTACATATACTCAAGAAATCGTGATTTTCATTTAATGGAACTAAATTTACTTCTATCAGACATTTTCAGCCTAACATGTAGAGAAGATGAGATACAAAGTTCATGCTAACCAACAACTTGCTTTGTGAGCGACTTTGCACAGCTGTCAATGTAAATACTATTGTGGTACTTGGTTTATGTTTATGGAAAGTTACATCAGGAAACTCGGCACAGCAGGCGGCAGCATCTGATTTTGTAGTATCTCTTGTGGTGTTTTTAGTGTTCATAAATCAATTTTCTTTCAAATAATGTGTTGTCAGCTGATCACTCCAATGTCATAGCAGTGTACTCACTCTCTGTCCAGCCTTTCAAATGTCCAGAAGGATTTCCATTGCTCGTCTTGCAGCTCAACCCTGTGACTGTGTTGTCAAGTTTTCATTTTGGCAAAATGACTGAACCATATTTAGGGATTTTGTGTTTTAAGCTTTAGTAGATTTTTATCTATTTTCTAATTATTTTTAAAGAGTTTTGCTTTTTATGTTGATCTGATTTGACCTCAGAATGATTCATCTATTTATTTGACTGTGCTGAATGATGCTGCTGTCCATTCCTGCTTATTATTTAATCCTCACGCTGGCATGTTTGAATTTTTGTTCAAATGTTTGTGTTTTAATTTGAACTGTACCCGACTGAATCTACTATGTTAACAACTCATCACTTATTTGCCTAGTGTTTCATTCCCTTCATTATGTAATGCTTATGATAAACAATAGTTCACCCAGTAACATAATTGTTTGTACTCACCTCCCTAAACTCTCTGTGGTCTCAGAAAAAGTTTTCTATCGGAGAGCGGAGATAAGCAAACCAGTGAAAAAAGACTTTGTTGTGGCCAAACAAAAGAGTAAAAGAGGATATAAAATGTCTGAAAAACTGCCTGACGTTTCCTGTGCAGCATTATCCAAGTGTCTTGTATCCATTCATGGGCTTATGGAAATCAGAAAACTACAAACCGTTTCTGCTGAACTGTTGCTAAACAAAGTATTTTTGGATTGTCCTCCTATGAAGGGATTTGACTGTGTGCATGCATGCATACTTGGATGATCGCACAAGGTGCTTGAAGTGCTTGGATTTTAAGGGGAAAAAATCAAGTGCTAAAATCACTTGAAAATGACCCCTAACAAAGAGCTTAAAAATCCTTGAAATTCAAATAAACCAAAAAATCGTGACTTATGTTTCAGCCAAAGTTTGATAATGCCTTGCCCAACATCATGGTTCATTTTTACTTCACTTCACTGTTATAACCCTGGCAAAACCAGAAGGCCGATGTTGGCATGACAAAACTTAATATGACTCAGCTTGATGAGCATCTCACCGTAATCTGGTTTGCTGTCTCTTCAGCAATGCTCTGATGCTATTGCTCTGCCGAAAACTTGTGAATGTGATTGGTAACTTTTCACTGAAAAGAGACACTGATCACATAATTTATGTTTGAGCATGACGTCCTTAAAAATGAAAAAACATAGTGCACTGATCTGATTCAACTATTCGGATGTTCCACTCTCCCTAACATTTTTTAGTGGAGTTTAGAGAGACGAGTACTGTACACAGTGTCTAATGTTTTTGGTTGAACTATACCTTTAAAGAATAATGGAGAAAATGGTGCTTTGTTGCCTTCTTTGGTCGAACATTTCAAGCTTGCTTCACCTCTGACCACACACAGAATCACCGAGTATGTTTACATGCACGAAAAAGACAATATTCCTACCAAGCTGTTTACATCACTAGTGAAAAAGAATATTCCACCAATAGTCCCGTTTACATGCAGCCGTGCATACTCACATTAACATGTCCTAACGTAATTTATCATGTCGAAATATAGATAAGTGGAACCGCTGAATCATTTTGCTTCTTCGCATCAAAATAGGATCCAAAGGAGCAGGCTTCAGGGTGGACTTTTTCGACCGTACGGACGTGGCCTCCATCTTTGATTTAGTGGGCAATGCAGGCAAGAGGCTGTGTGTCACCAACTGAGACACATATTCCAAATACATGTCCAAAGAATACTGTTTAACTCCGAATAATACCGGCAGATCCCACATATTAATCAGAAAATGTTAATTTTGGAAAAAGGCAGGATATGCTGTCATATTCGGAGTAATAGTGGAATGTTAGTGTGCATGTAAATGTAGTCGCTGATGGGAGTTTGCTCACTTGAAAGCTCCAGAAAAGGTGAGAAAGTGGTCCTTGAGTCAAGATTATTTTGGCAAATTTAAGCTCTGCCTTAGTTTTGACACCAGTTTGAATCAGAGATTGTTTGTTGAGCTCTGTGTATCACACTCCAGAAATAAAGGAAGTAGATCCACAAAACTGCGCTGTGCCCTAAATTCATACACTGGATATGAAGATTTTTTGAAAGGTTTCATCAGTGTATTTGTTTAATTATTGATGCTTTTCTATTGTTTTACCTCAAAAGGACTTTTAAAATGATTCACAGTCTACACACCCAGCCTCCATTCATGTTTCTGCTTGTGACTGAATATATATTGTTTGTCTTTATGTTTCTGTGCCATGTTCAACAAAGCGAAAAAGCACTGTTACACTCGTCAAATGAAGATATTGGCCATTAGTTTTGTATTGGATTTTGGCCAGCTGGGATCATTCCTCCTGATCACATTCTGAAAACCAGTGTGGGAAATAGTTTTCTCTGGGCATTTCAGTTTGATTGTTCGGTGACACTTGATAAATTAACTGTTCATTTAAAGGCCGAGGTACTGCATCCTCTACTGAAGAAACCTCATGTATGTTCTTTTAAGGTGCTTCAGAGGCATCAGTAAAAAGAAGTTTCATCATTCTGATTTTAAAACACTTGATAACTGACAAATCTGCATCTGTGTGGCAGCCTGACAGGAGAGGAAAATCTATGAATATTTTTTGTAAATTGCCACTTACTTGCACTTTGGTGTATCATTGCTGTCTATAACCTTTTACGCTTGTTCACACTCTGAATTTCTATGGTGGAGGTGTTAAACGGGGAGTATTATTTTGGATTTTTTCTTTGACAGAATGGGTTCGGCTTTATATGAATTAAATGTTCACTCAAATAAAATATATGCTGTGATTGTTTCTGTATCGGTTTGTTTCTTCTTGCTCAGTAGGTTGGGTTGGTGCAGTCAATTTTCCTGGATTTCAATATTTATCCAAAAAAAATTCTTTGCCAGTGTGCGTGTCACCTCATGTTCACTTGAGACCTTGACATGGTGAAACAGGGAAATACATACATCGCAGTTTTAGAATTATAACCTAAAGCATGACAGTGTGTCTGCAGGTCCTTAAAATGCCTTGACTTCAATTTAATGAATATGAGACCTTAAAAGTAATTAGATAGTCTTACATTTAATAATAATAATGACTTTATTAAGGACACAGGGAAAGATCCATAGCATAGCACACAGATAAAATAGACAATCATCTATGTACAAAAATACGATATGGTAAATACAATATATACATATATTTAAAAAAAGACAAGAAATACCCAACACTTCATCATACAAGTTCATAAAAATGGACACAATTCAATAAAGTGCACACACAAACAAGCTGGAGAGCCACTGGCCCCACAGTCTGAATGAAAACCTGACTGAGTTCAGCTCAGCGTCGGCTAAGGCCTGGATGATACCATTTTCTGAGACAGAGAACCTGCACATATATCAATATATAAGATTAGAATATACGATGAAAGCAGGGCAGGTGGGCACAGCAACACTTACACACATTTGGCTGGCACTGCACCATCATGGAAGTTTTAGTTAGGCCACATTAAGTCTTTGCATGTTGCTCTTCATATAGGAGCGCCGGAGTGCAGAACACATACACATACTAAATTTGCGAGCAAGTTCATTAGCTTGTGCATAGAACTTGTGACACTGTCTGTAGATGTCTTTATCATCAGATTAATCATTGACACTATAATGCCCAAGATATTTAATCTCATTACACACTTTAAGAGCAACACCAGATAAAAAGAATTCAGGAAATACTCATTTTCTGTCGTCTTTACTTCTAACAATCATAATTTGATGTCACAATCTGGTCCATAGTCAGAGCAAACCTTCAGGAGCTGTTGTAGGCTGGCACCATATGGGCAGAAGATAACTAAATCATCTGCATACATATGATGACTTATTGAATTTTTGCCAACAATACACCCTGTGTTACATGCATTTAACTGTTGGGACAAGTCATCCATGTGCACATTAAAAAGAAAAGGAGACAGAATGCCACCTTGTCGAACATGAAATGATTCTGATACAGAGCACCCCCATCTTACCTGCACAGACTGATGAACACACCAGTAAATGAGAATTCTAATTATCCATTTAGAGACCCCTCTGCAATGCAATTTACTGAATAATATCTTGTGATTAATGCAATCAAAAGCCTCAGAGGCATCTATGAAGCACATAAACATTGTGGAGTTCTGCTGATTGTATTAATCTAAAATTTCCTTTAAAGCAAAAGTACACATCAGTGCCATGTTTACGTTTGAAACCAAACTGGTTTCAATGTGTGAGGTCTTAACTGCCAGAGACATTTTGTCCATTTTAATTTATCCATATTTTAATTTCTTTCTGAGTGTCAAGCTCTTGTGCATGAAATTCCACATTCCTGATGTTACAAATCTTTAAACCTACAAATGAACCTAGTACTGTGTTTTTACTATAGACTTCATATAACATGTAGATTAATCTAACTCACTCATAACTAAATAATACCTACCTCTGCAACAGCCACATATATACAACTTAACTTTATACTTTACTGCAATGGTTGAATAAGAAACTGACCAAAATCAGTCTTACGTTTATTTAAAAATGATCTTGAAGAAGTCTTAAAAACCATAAAATATAAAGATATATTATGCAGGATTGTCGGTTTCTGTTTGTAAACATACTCGCCAGTGAAAGTGAAAAAAGCCAACCCTAGATTTTCTCTCGTTTGCCGTTTGACCTTGCTATATATGCAGTTTTTCATTGTTGTGTCTTTTGGATGCCTGCTGCTTACAGTCAATAAAAAATGTGAGTCTTTCATGATGATAAGTGTAAAGCCCTCTGAGGCAAAATGTGATATTGAGATTTATAAATAAAAATATAATTGAACTGAAGTCAAAACTATTGGTTCAGTATTTCAGAGCATAAATAAAACACAAAATTTAAGAAATAATAAGACGCTTTATTACGATCTTTTTTATATGTACAGTAATTTTATCACAATTCCTTTTTTTTAATAAAGTCATGTACTGTAAATAAAACATGCCCTGTGTATTCACAGGTGAGAAGACAGACTCCAGAGGGTAAAGCAAGATAAATATCTGACTCAAAATGTAATGTTCCAGGAAACAGGATATCTTTACTATCCCCTCGGGGCAATTTGTTGCGCAGTCAGTAGTATCACAAGCACATGAACGATTTTTAAAAAGTACAAAATGAATAAAGAAATACAGAAAATACATCATGCTGTGTTAGTAACAAAACAAATATATACATTGAAAAACTCAGGTGAAAGGGTCAAGTGAGATTATCTAAGAAGCCAGTGGCTTTTGGGACATTTTTTTTCCTATTTGTCCTGCAATATCTACAGCCAAATGGAAGCAACCTGAGCTCACTGAATAAGGGGTGACCGGGGTCAGCCAGGACTGACTGGGCCTTCTTCAGCATTCTGATCATGTACACATCAGTCACATTGTTTCATAATACTCACAATCACATAATACTCACATCGTTGGTATTTAGGTTTTTTATTGTTGTACTCTAAACTGTAATCAACTCTGTAACTTTTTTCGCTGCTACAAGCACTTTGTCGACAACCAACAACAACACCAGCACTTTATCTATGCACATTCCTGCCTTGCACTTTATATCAGGAGCTGCTACTTGGACTGCCTTTTAGTGTTTTGTAAGTTGTTCCTCCTTGCACTTTAACAACTTGGTTATTTTAAATGTGGAAATTGTATGTCTGTATTGTCTCTGTGCTGTCCTCTGTTCATCTGTATTTTAGGTTTCTTTGTTTTTTAGATTGTGGTCTGTGTATATTGTAAATTATATGTTGGGACTACAGATGGAAATTAGCAGTTATTGCTAAATCTGGTGCAACCATCTCCTCATCTCTTGGAAATGATTAATGCTATTGCACACTGTCCCTTGATAAACTAAACTAAACTAAACAAGAAGCAGCCAGGTCCAAAGAGAACTATGTGTTCCCAAGATTGAATTTTATGAAGTTTTGTTTCACAGTGAGGGGGTGACTTAATTTAAAGAAAGCATCTCTGTGTTTTAACTTGAGCTATTCATTGGCAGAGAGTCACATTACACAGATTTTAGTTAGACCAGAGTTATGATAATTCTGTTCCAGAAAACATTCCACAGACTTCTTCACATTTGGCACATTTCTGTGCAGTATGGTGTTAGGTACTGTTTGATTTTCTTAGACAAAAGTTATTTTCACCTTTGATGTAAGCAGTCAATCACTCTCACTCTCTCTCACACATACACACAGAGTCATTAAGTCAACCAGCTTCAGGTGTGTGAGCTTGTCTCACAGCTGAACTGTGATTTTATTAAACCACAGGAGCAACTGAGGAGGAAGTGACTCTTTCAGTGTATGAGGCTTTCACTCCTGAACAAGCTGCTGCTTCACACACACAGACTAAGATATATTTGTTAAGTGTTTTTATTGTCGTAAAAGCGTTAGAAATCAAAAGCTGAGTTCTCTCTAGAGCTCCAGCAGCAAATATGTTTGCTTAAGTCATCTGGCTTCCAGTTTGTCTTGTTAGTTTTATGTTCTTCTTTGCTTTTCTATAACAGTAGGACCATCCTACGCATGTTTTACGCTCTGTAGAGATTTTAACAGGTCAGGTTTGTTGAGCTCGAGGTTAGAGAGTGCAGTCATGAAGGAGGAGATCGCTGCTGCTGTGTTCTTCGTGGCTCGCCTGGTGAAGAGATATGGTTGTCTGGATAATGACAGCAGGGAGCGCTTCGCCGCTGCCCTCACCTCTGTTCTGTTTGAGAGCTACAAGAACCACTGGCACCTGAATGCACCCACCAAGGGGCAGGCCTACAGGTCAGTGAATCTCAACCTCAAGTACAATTTTAAAAAAAATCAGTGCACCAATAGTAAATCAATGAGGAATGGGCAATTACACAAAGACTAATCTGGAACATATAGTGAGTAACACAAGTAAAATAAGTCAAAGCAGTACAAGAAGTGAAAAGACTAATGGTGGTAAATGAAGTGTAGACTAATCCACAGCCAGTGAGTTACATATATTAGATGTCAGCCAGCATGCCCCCAGTTTAGAGAAGCAGGCTGGAGTCCAACACAAAATCTAAGTAATGTGTTGCTGTGTTGGCAACAAACTATATTTTAACCACCTAAAAATCAATTCTAGTTTAAGTGTACGTTATATTGAGAGTATTTTCCCCACTTTATCTTTTCATTAGACAGCCTGTCCAGCGGGGAAGCCATTAAACGTGTCGGTTCCCATGTATGCTCTTGTCAAAACCACCAGACTCTATTGACAAAAATTAGTGATCTTAACTTGCTAAACACAGGAGCTGCTGGCTACTACTGCTTCAGTCACATAGTTTGCTTTATTGTTTTGACTCTGGTGAATCTGAACTAATCCTTTTTAAATGCCAAAGTCACACAATAACTGAATGAAACTTTATTTTTCAACAAGACTTATGATGGTGAAAGATATCCTCATATCTAATACTGTGCTGCACATCACTGCTGTGTGTTTCAGGTGTCTCCGTATGAACCGTGTGCAGCTGCAGGATCCCGTGCTGCAGCAGGCCTGCGAGCGGAGTGCGGTGCGGTACGAGGATCTCGGCCTTCCACACGAGCTGACGGTGTGGGTCGACCCTGGAGAGGTGTCCTGCAGGTTAGGTCACTTCACTCAAGTCTCTTCCGCTACTTGGTGGAGATTCTAAAATTAGGTGCCTGGCCAAAAAATGGTTCCAGCACATAATTCCCCGTAAAACTACGTCTTGCATTTACATTCTTGATTTAACAAGTGAGAAACTACACGTTAAATTGGTGAGCTTCAGATAAAACTTTGGAGAAAGCCAGGCTGGCTGTTTACCCCTGCTCCAGTCTTTATGCTAAGCTAATCCTCTGCTAACTCTAGTTTTATGTTGAGGGTGGGTTAGGGTCAGAGACATCTAACATTAGGGACATCTGACTATTGGCAAGAAAAAAAGTGTACAGCCCAAAAATGCAACACTCCTTTTAAAACATGACGGGACCATATGAGCAATGGCAAGTTGATGCAGTTGATGGTGTGAAAACCTGCTTTTTATCACTAATAAAAAAACTGATTTCAGGTTTTTTTTTTATTTCTGTCTGTACCTCTCTAGGTACGGCGAACACAGCACTCCATTCTGTGTCTCAGTGGTGGACAGCTGTCGTCGTGGCGATGGGGAATTTTCCCGCCGCATCCACGATGCTGTGGAACGGGCGAGCCACGACATTCGATCAGGAAGCTTCTCAGACGACGACACCGAGGAGGAGGGGTGCGGAGACAGCAGCATGAGCAACAACAGCATGAGTAGCAGCAACCTATCAACTCTCTGCCCGGCTCCGATTCCGCCCGCCAACCCTGAGCCCAAGACCATCCCAACTGTCAGCAACCCCAACAGTGTCTACAGGGTAGGTTCAATACACAAAGGGTCATCTGAGCTTTAATGCCGAACGTACACCACAAGAAGTGAGTTTTTCTTCACACATTAACATTTTGCAGGGTCACTTTGCAAGACTACAACTAGATTCTTTTTTAGATCATTTTCCATCCTGTCCCTGGTGGAAAATATTACGCCAAACTCCCTTTAAGAAATGACACATTAACAATTATGTGTCTGCAAAACGCATAACGCTAGAATCACAACGTAAAAGGCGTCTCATGTAGACTCAGCATCAGTAACAAACTTAACATTTTGTATTGTTGCCTCAACTCGCTACCAGCCTCTGTTGCTTTACTGCACCATTTTAGTGGGAGGAGACCATGGGAATAATTTAATTTAAATCTAAGATTCTTGCTAAAATAAGTGCTGGTTGGTGGATCAGACACCTTGGTTCCTTCCCCTCCCCGGAGTCCCCTCCATGTTTACTGTCTCCTTGGATTGCTTCTTCCTGTTGGATGCGGAGAGCGCAGCTGTTGGTTGTTGACAATGGTCACATCATCGGACTTATTTGTATAAACCAAGACTAAAAACTCACGATAATAACCACGTTCGATTTTGTCGGAACATCAAGATGAGAGAAAAAAAGACAGCTCGGACTGAGTTTTATGACCACCTACACCAAACAACCGAGGTCACGGGAGCTTGTACCAGCTGAGGTAAAACTGATTTTATTCTGGCATCGATCAATTGCCTGACAATAAAAGGACTTAGAAGTTGGCATTGTTTGTAATCTTAACTGTACCGCAGTTATTATGCAAAGAAATTGTAAAGAATAGAGTACTTTAAAAATGTTGGATGTAGTCTGGACTTTCTCAAATGGTTCATCAATATTCTTGTCTGACGATAGGATCGCATAGCTGGGACTTCATATTTTATATTTCTTTAAGTCCATTAATGTTTGTCTAATCTTTTGACTGCACAACATTTTAATTTGCTAAAAGAATCTTAAAGGGAATTTAGACATTTTCTGCTTTTCTTGGGAGCAGTCAAGAGCTGTAGCTTTTTTTTTTCTGAAAGTCTTTCATTACTGCCCTCTAACCCTTTGCTCCTCTCGTCCTCAGTTCAGTGAGTTTTCTCCAGGCGCCCCTCAGACCTGGCTAAGGGAGAAGCGGAAGGCCTTTGCTGCGGATCCATTCCCACCTCATCCTCCCCCAGTTGGAGGTCCGACCTCCCAGTTCTCCAGCCAGAAAGGCTTCAAGTCCTATCGAGCCACATTCACCTTCACCGGGCCTCGTGTTGACAAGTACCACTGGGTCAGCAAATCCAGATCCTAGATCAACCGAGCCTTCAGCCTAGAAGCAGAATCGGGTTACTGCTTGGGACAGCAGCCATAGACACTGTGGTTGGGGGAGAAAAAAGTTTCAACGCAGTTTACGTATCTTTAAGGGATAATTATTATTAATTGCATATGGTTTAAAGTGTTCACGATTTAAAGTAATGCTGTTTAAGCATGTTTTTAAACTTATAATATCAAGTATTTTAAGCAGTTCTCCTTCTAAATGTGTTTTTAAACTAAAAGTAAGTGTGAATAAACATTGAACTGTCATTGAAAAGAAATAAAAGCGTCTGTGTCAGCTCTGCTGGTTGTCCGAAGCGGTTTCCTCGTTATTTCATATTTTGGTTCATCTTAAACAAAACAGGTTCTGGTTACACAAATACTGGGCTGAATTAGCTATCATGCATGTCCTCCTCCCCAAACAATACAGGTAGAGCTTTACAATTTACAGATACATTTTTATTGGGCAAAACACGACAGCGAGATGGGACAAAATGAATCAAAATATTGCAGCCGTAAGGAGAAACAGAAAATATGAGCGAAATTGAGAAATATGAGAAATTAAAACTATGTATGGCTATAGCACAACTTTCTTTGGGCTTCACTATCTGATGAAAATCTACCAGTGGCCAACTGTGGTACTGCAACTCCTAATTCCTTGCAGCCATAAAAGTGCCCCAGGAATGAATCCAAAAACCTGAAAATGAGTGAGCATTTTACCACCCACCGTTCCCTCTTAAAGTTAATGGGTTTTTGGTTAGATGCCTGAAATGAGGTCTGTGGTTAACACAAGCTAAAGAAACGTTTTACTTTTTGTTCTACAACATAAACTCCATGAATTTTAAAGCTTTTCTGTGTCTTAAAAAAGGCAGTTGCTAACAAGTGGCTAAATGAGACTACAGAACGTCATCGTGCCGACCATGGCTTTACAGCTGTGCTATGGGGGCGTTAAGACTTGCAACCATAGTGCAGTTGAATAGCCTAACATTAGCTTTTTCCTTCATTGCATTTAGGCTTCAAAAATTTCCCCACACCTGTAAAATGGGTGGAGCAGTTTCTATTTAAACTCAGTGTTGTGAATTATGGTGTTGAACACTTTTGACGAAGGTCCAAGAAGACTGAAACGCTAGTGTTACTATCTACTAAACATGAAAGCATCATGTTTGTTTGCCACGGAGCTTATTTTCTGCAATGATCCTAAATCCAATGGAAAAATCCCACTGGCTTTTTGACAAGGGAACCAGGGCAACACTAACTTCTGTGTTGGCCTACAAAAAAAATCCCTGGAACACTATAGACTTACAGTAAAGAGGCCAGTCCATAGTTTATATTTCGTAGCCTCTGTTTTTTATGTGCATCGAAATGTGGTGTATGTATGTGTGTGTGTGTGTGTGTGTGTGTGTGTGTGGTGGTGGTTGTACTGGTAGTGTAGTTAGTGATTGGTGTGTAAGAACAATCAGCTAACAACACTGCCTACACAGCAACCCCAATCAGGAATCCGTAGTACTGCAGTAAATGCTGTGAGGTGATGCGTGACATGACCGACATAGATACTAACAGGTTTGCTTTTGCATGAAGGATTTTACTCGGAGACGGTCTGGAGCATCTGGTCAGGCGAGTCAGACCCTGCTGACCATCTTCATTCTGGAGTGAAGAGAAACTTGATGTAAAATATAAAAATTAACTGGTGATGACAAGTTGTCCTGAAATGCTCGACATTTTGGGAAATAATCATGTTTTCTTTTTGGGGAAGACTTGGATGAGAATTTATATTCTAATGTGTATATGGTTGACAAAAGGCTTTAGCCGGTTACCTTAGCACAAAGACTGGAAACAGATGGAAATAGATCATCCCCCTCGGTGCGCCCATGTTCAGCAAAATGCATTTCCTACAATAGAGAAGGCATGACCCACCCTACTCTCACTCTGACTGGCTTGTACTCGTTGCCTTCGTTGGTTGGACTAATGTGGTTTAGGCAAGAGGAGTGAGATTGGTTCAGTAAATGAATCAGAGGCAGAGTGAGGCAGAGGCCTGTACTACGAAGCCACTTCAACTTACCCAGGATATCTTCTCGTTATTTGGCTTGACTAACCCTAACATTGGCTGTCTGGATAACTGGTACTATGAAGCTGGTTATCAACTAGATCAGTCATCAAATGTAGAAATACTATCCAAAAAGTCACTGTTGGCCGAGTCTTAAATTATGTGTAGGTATCACTAGGCTATTAATGATGTTAGTATAGAGTATTTTTTGTTATTTAGTTGAACGATGATGATGAATATGTCACATAAAACACTTCAGACTGTTTCTGCTACTGAAGTAAAGGGTGGAAAAGTAGCCTAGTTAATGACTGATGAGGTCTATCTGACCAAAATATTGCATTTATATAATAATGGGAGCCAAATATCAGTGTGTGGATAATTTTACTGATAAAATATTATCCGTCTTATCCTAGTTCTCATCACACAGGTGTCTCATGTCATTCTGAGCTGCAGTGATGGAATCAGAGTGTAAAATAGCATCGCTGTCACTGCGGACTGAAATAAACGTTGCATAAGTTGAAATACAGCAGAAGTCATGTGTTTAGTGTGTAAACGATCCCTGTGTTTGTTAGAAGCTCTGTTTTAAAACCAGTGGAAACAGAGCCCTGAAACAACGAAATGACCTAGTATTACTACTTACCTCTAGGTTACTTTTTTTTATCTGAGACTCCAGACTTTTATCCATGGATACTTTTTTCTTCAGTGATCTGATTGGTCAGAGGTCGGGGTGTTGACAGGCTGTGATCCGACACTTAAGTTAACCTGCTCCAGAGCATGTTAGTTGTTCAGAATAAGTTGCCACAGTGATTTATACCAGTAAAAAGCAGACAGATTCATAGTACTGAAAACCCACAGTTAACCTTGAAATTACCTCGCTAACTCCAAATCCTGCTCCGTAGTACAGGCCTCAGGTCATGCCTTCACTTTGCAAGGAAAACCAACTTTGCCTCTGGGATGCCCCTATGGCAGATAAAACATTATGAAGTGCCCTTTCAGAGGAGAAAATTTGATGAAGTGCCCTCCATGGTGCCCTTTAAATTAAGGAAACACGGTGCAGTGCAATATAGGCTTTATTGCCTTACCAAACCCTCAAGAGCTCCCTGACTGGATCATTTCCCTTCCAGTTTAAATCAGTGTTAATTTGTTACCGAAGAAGAATATGTGTGAATTCTCTTATAAAAGTATCCTGAGTCCAAATTCTTTCTTTTTGGAAGCCCTGCTGTCACTTTCATGCTCTTATACACTTGGAAATAATAGGCAATAGTTGGCCTGTTTTTCCAGACTATATAGCACTGGCATTTTTAACAACTTAACAACCAGCAAAGACTGATTAGCAAATATAAATTACATGTTGGGGAACAATAAAATGACTTTACCGATGATCAAGGCTGATGGGCTTTGTGCGAACTCTTCTGCTGACTTGCTGATCATGTCGCACACAGTGCAGGCTGGACGAGCTGTCCACATCCGTATGATTGGATACAAAACAATTGCAGACTTTAAAAAAAAATAAAAAATTGTACTCACATAATCAATAGCAGTGTCTAAAGTTAACTATTGGTGTGTATATGTGAATGGATGAGTGCTGTGATCCTACCTATCATCGCTACAGGTCCCACCGCTCTGTTTACAAGTGACCACTGCTGGAGAAACACAACCGTCTCCACAGCTACACTTTACTCTGTGTGTGTGTGTGTGTGTGTGTGTGTGTGTGTGTGTGTGCGTGTGACCATGTCTCAGGTCATGCCTTGACTTGCCCCTGGCTGGCAGGTATGTTGCCTGGGTGAAGCGGTCAGTAAACTTACCCTGAGCCCCCAGGGTTTAACAGTTTCACTCTGTTTCATGTCACCGCAAAGTTCCCTCTCTCAAACTTTGCAGAGCCCAGATCTGTTACTGTCGGGTTATTACTAAGGTTTGATATGATTCACCCATATACACTTAAACAAGTAGGCTACTGCAGAAGCAAATGCAGCATGCCACACTACAAAAACTGTTAAGAAATGGCCTGTAGAGTGTGACAAGAAGCTCAAGGTGTCGACCCTGCTTCTAAATTTCCCAGGTCTTCATCTGTTCAAGGATTCTTGTGATGTGCCGGTACCCCAGATGTACCCCTAATCCAAGGTGGGGCCTCCTTGGATCAGACTTGGCTCTGACCTGTCGAGGCATGGACACAGGATCTCTGGGAGTGTCCTGCGGTGTCTGGCACCAGTGCGTTGGTGGCAGATCCATTTAGTCCAGTGGGTTGTGAGGTGGGTTAACATTGACATTTTGTTGAGAGAGAGTTTCCATTTGTCAGACAGGACAGTCAACTAAAATCTCAAACTACAAACAACGAACATGTACAGGAATATAGAGAGAAATGGAAGGAAAAGGAAGAGAAACAGATGGTCACAAAACAAACAAAAAAACATTAAGTAAATACAGGACAGACCACCTGCAGGTACGTAGACTATTCACATATTTTTTAATGGGTCCCAGGTTTTGTAAAATCTCTTAATGGAGCCATTGAGGGTGCATCAGATTTTTTCCCAGCTTGATGTTCTGCATCGCATCTATGATCCATTGGCTGTGTGATGAACGGTTTACATCCTTCCATTTAAATAGAGCTGAGCATCCAGCTTATTGGGAGCAAAAGGCAAAGAGTGAGCAGAGATACTGGAATCATCTGGAACTGAAAATATACCAAAAATACCAATAGTAGGAGAATGCATAATATTACAGCCCAAAGTCTCAGGAATAGTGTCAAAAAATGATAACCAGAAAGAGGCCAAGTTTTAAACAAGACCACAACATATGGTAGATGGGGTCTGTTGACACATATGGGGCGTACGTTTGGGAATGTTCTTGCAAGTTCAGCTTTTGTTTCGTTGTATAAAGGCATGTCTTGATGTCTTGAGCATGTTGAAGATGAATGAACCTTAGAAAGAGCCACGTCCCATTTCACATCCGACAGCAGAACTCCTGTTTGGTTCTATTTTAAGGTGCTTCCTGATTTTTTTTTTCTGTATTCACTGTGCTCCACCTTTTTTTTGTACTCTGTAACACTGTACATAACTATAACTTTAAGGTACTTGTACTTTTTCATTTTCTTCTACTTTATATTTCTGCTCTGCTTAATCTCAAAGGCAAATATTGTTTGTGAATTTGACCACATTGGTTACTTTTCTTCTTCCAAACGTAACTAATAAATTATGGTGTATTTTTTGTAGATAAATCCATCATGCAGTATATATAGTGGTAATAATTGTAGCATATTGGGAAATTGCCATACTTGCATAATTATTTAAAGGGTGTTGATTCTTTGATGAAAGCACCTTGTGTTTTAAGCATGCATGCTATTAGGATATTGTATTAATGCTTTCATAAGTAAGTTTAAGTAAACTTTAACCAGCAGCAGCATGTAGAGTAGCACTTTAAATCACCAGGTTGAATCATTCTAAAAGATTTGTTTTCATATATTAAAATATACTATATACTAAAATATCACTGAAAATTTTATACGTAGTTCTCTATTGTGCACATGCTGCAGCAAAGTATTCTGTTTCAATTTGTTTGGGTAAGGCTAGATTCAAACCAAGTATCTTTTGGGAACAGCTTCTGGTCCAGAAAATCGGTGCTTCTCAAAGTCAAGGATGGATACTTGAACAGCTCCATTTCAAGAAAGCTACATCGTTGAATCCTGTTGGATTGTTCCCATGTCAAGGAACTTTAGAGGTCTACAGAGGACCCAGTCCTTCCTTCAGATAATTTTCAAGATGCATGTATCTTCAGAAGCACCCATTATTGTTCACACACCATTTGCCAGAATTGAGGGCAGGGCCTCTTCAATGTTGTACACCTGGGCACTTGATAGCCTGTTCCAGTGTGTATTCACCAAATGCTAGGGCAGTCTTGCCTAGCCTCTGTAGGACCTGACTTGGAAGGATTCCTCCTACCAAGGAAGCATCCTTGACTTTGAGAAGCACCAGCTGTCTTCCACACCTATCATTGTGAGTGTCAGAACTATTTAGCCTAATTTACTGTATTACTAGCCAGACAATGCAGATACTTGCTCAGTATCTGCAGTCTGGGAGGTATGAACCTGAATGATTTTGTCATCCAACCACCTGTAGACCTGGGGGGGGGGGGACTTCTGAATTTGACAAATCCATGTTCTTTGCATAATGAGGTCAAACCTAAAATTTCTGGTCACGTGAAAGTATAGCATATAATAATCTGTAACAGTTAACCTTTTTCATACTTTTGTGGGTAGGAATCTTTTTCTTATGCACCGTCTTGAAAACCGAGCATGATCGAGCACCAAATTTACTAACTTAAAACAACCGATTTCTACTTTTCATGACTAGGATCATGATTAACAGTAACATTAAGCATTAGAAATACACAGAACATTACAAACGAGAATGTTTATTACTAATAAATTGCCAGACACTAGCTGAGGAGACTCCAGAGGCCTGAAGTCCGTCCAGAAAACAAACTAAGCAGACATTTAACTTCAGAGCGGTTATTTCTAAAAACCAGTGACACTTGACAAACACAAACTAAACCAGCATAGAAACTTAACAATTTGCTTGTTATGTAAAAGGTGTGATTTAACAGGAAGTCCGCAGTTGCATGTGGTTAAATCATTTTTGCCCCCACTTAAATCCCACACACCTGTATGCTTTCAGATGTTTAAGTCCCTGGTGAACTCATTAAGCTCGCAGGCAGTCATTCCAATTTGACGGAATTATAACTAGAGTAAAAATGATTCCACATAAAGGGGGAAAAATACCAAATGTGTCATTTGAGGGGACGTGAAACAATTCTTCAGTTACGCTCAACATTCCTTCATTACAGATCATTGGATTGTGTGGCGACACAAAGACCGATAGAAATCAATGTTGAAAACTGAATCTGAATCCTTAATCTATTTGACTACTTCCTAATCTTCCAGCCCAAAACAGACCCCCCCCCCCCCCCCCCCCCCCCCCCACACCACAAAAAAAAAAAAAAAAAAAAAAAAACTGTTTATTTGTCAAAAAAAGCTCCTTTACAGCGCCAAGATTTTCAACCTGTAAAGCCAGCAAACATGTAAAATACAAGCCTTACAATACATTAGAATCAAAACAGGTACCAAAAAGTACAGTAAAAATTACACTTCCGTTGATGGAAATGTGGAAGGGAAAAAAAAGGAACACCAAAGGGAAAAGTAAAACCTAAAAATGATAGAATTAAAAAAAAAAAAAAAAAAAAAAAAAAAAAAAAAAAGAAAAGTTACATTTCAGATGTTTTCTGTACAAATGGTCTTCTGTCATAAAAGAGGTCGAGTCATGCCCAGTGTGTCCGTCTTGCTGTCGGTCTCGCCGGATCACTGGAGTCCTGGGGGAGAACACACAAGAGTCACACATTTTTAAACCCAAATACTTCAGATCTAAAACATTCGAGTTGCACCAAAAGTAATTTGTGGGGATAATGTTCTTCAACATGACGTCTGTCATTTACATTTCCTGCTACTACGCTACATCTCAAAAGGAAAATATTGTACATTTTACCATGGGACAAACATGTCAGCTGCCTAGCTCTAAGTGGAAGAGGAGCAGATAAATAATGGTTGAATTTAACGAGCTACAGTAGATTAATACGGACACTTGCACTTCAAAAGCAATTACTCTGGTTTTCTGTGGGATCAGATGAACAGTGTTTACCAGCTCTGAACTGCAAAAGCTCAACTATGGCTTCATGTAGTCGGGCCGAAGTGTCCGTGCTTACAGGCATCATGACAAAATGTAAAAGGAGAGTAGTTAAAGCCACAGCATACCTTGCGCTACCACATGATCATCAGTATGGCTTGTAGCCGGCCTGGTGTGCCCCCCGTCTTGGAGTTTTCCCGTAGCTGCCGTTGCCCTGGTCTGTGGGGCAGAGAGGATAGGCACGTCAGACACACAGCAATCAGGTTTAAACTATTTAGTGTAATTATTAGAGCAATATAAGATGATTGATAGCGTGATTTAACTGTGGCTCAGTGTGAGAGCAGATTATAGAAGATCTAGAAAGATGAGATTTGGAGTTGACAGCTATAGTGAGAACTTTTAATAAAGCAAGAAGAGGTAAATCAGTAAACACAGTATTTCTGTGCTGCCTTCCCAGATGTGTGGGGCTACCAGCTGTGGTATGTGAGCAAATCTGGCAACCCTACTGTTATGACAAGACTTTGGGATGTTTTGCACAGTCACTGCATCCGGATGCCACACAACGGTTACGCCACCAACGCCCTCTAAAATGACTAATTTGACAAAATCTGTTGGTATATTTAGATTCAACATGTGAGTCAGCTTCAGAAGTGTTTGCTGGGTTTTTTCCACACTGACGTATGCCAAGATAGCCAATACCTTCCTGCTTTATGTTCTTATATCAAGCTAGGCTTACAACACCCTAACTCCTATCCAACACACAGACATGAGACAGGCAAATATCTCCTCGTATCGCTAGAGGAACATTTTTGGAAATCCATGCATTTGCATTCTGGTGTGTGTATGTGGCTGAAGCAATTCCTTAAATTATATATCTACATGTATTCCTGTTCACATGCTGTAGTAAGCTGGAAGGACATTTGAGTACACTATAAAGAAATAACACAAACAAAGTCTTAATTTGGCAACGTTTACTCTGACAATAGTTTGGCATAATCAGACAGTCATGGTCGTGCACTGACACAATATACTGAATCTTATTCAAACTAATAAACTATTAATCAATCCATAGGATTCGGTATGAGACAGTTTAACTGGTGCATCCCTAATGCAGGGTTTCAACAGTTTAAGGCAAGTTTGAATGAAGACTTATCAATGCCATTCAGAATTAAACGTAAGACCAATTTTTACAATAATCAAAACTGTAGGGAAAAAACATGAACTAACATGAACAGGGGACAATATTGCCGACATGTTTATTGCAACATAAAACATGACTTTTTTTGGTCAAGTTAAAGTCAGATCTACATTAAATGCTGGAAAGGTTTAAAAACTTTGGAACAAGTGGCAATTAATATATTAAAAGTATCCATATCCATTGACTGGATGTGATAGATGTACATGAGTATTGTTGGCTCCTCTATCCTGATCTTCATGATGTCAATGCCAGAAGCATTCTGTAAATTATTTTAAAAATAGACATTACCAATTATTTTGAGATTAACAATACAAAGACAGAAAAAGTATCCTATTTCCCATGTTTTAGCATTTAAAGACTGTTGAAAGAATGAGTTAAGACATTTTAAGACCCAGTAAGGACTTATTTTTAAAATCATGAATACTGAACTCCATGCAGCTATCATCTTCCATACATGGTGGTTTGCGTGTGTGTACTTACTGTAATCATATCCGGGACCGTATCCATAGTAACCAGAAGAGTAGTCGTAGTTGCCATAGCCACTGTATCCACTGTAGCCATAGCCTTGGTTACCATATCCCTGGTTCCAGTAGTTTCCGTAGCCCTGGTTCCAGCCCTGGCTCTGACCTGAGACGCACAGAGTGCAGAGTTCACATGAAGGTTTAGTCTCAACAGCCCAAAGACAAATTTTCTGACAATTATAAACAACAAAATGCCTGAAACCCCATTTCAATTTTCCTGTACAGTCACTAAATGTAGGCCAGACACAGGATTAGGGCATCTGCTTAACAGCTGATAAGAAACTCAGTGGGTACAATGCAGATATGAACAGTACATCAAGGCCCCAACAGGTGGGTATCAGCCAACAACAGAGTGTCAAAATGTTATATTTCTCCCCCTAAAATACCATTCTTCTCTATATTACACCAATCTTGTGGGCAAAGAGGCATTTTTATTAGTTTTTACATCAAATTTTGACATTGCCGTCACCCTCCAGCCTTTAACATGTGGTGCCAACCACGCATCCTGTACTAGATCAGACCCAGAGACCCTGCAAACACAGACTGGAAAGAAAAAAGGAGATTGTGCATCCTTACCTCCACGGCCCCTTCCTCCCCGGCCACCATAACCACCACCACCACGTCCTGCTCCATACTGCTGCTGCTGGTACACCTCCTTTGGCTGGGCGATCTTAAGCTCACACTATGGAGGACAAGCCTATGTTAAATTCTGACCTCAGACCCAGCAGAAGTGGAAAAAGCAGTAAACTAATAAAGCAGTGCCACAATGTTAAAATGTAATTTACTCCAAGAGTCAAATGTACTGACAAAATATTTTATTCAGAGTAAAACTCTTCACAATTTAAATTCAACAATGCTTTCATCATGTTAATATTGTAGGTCATCACGGAGACACACACTTAATACACAACGTTGGTAGTAAACAGTTTAGTCCAGCTGGTGCCTGCAAATACTCCTCATTTGGCTGCTTAAAATTTTCAGTTCAGACATAACTTGATTATGATTGCTCTTTTCAGCATGTCTAACTACATGATGAAAAAACTTAATCCATCATGATCACCTGTCAGGTTCCACTATGGTGTGATAAAAAGGTATGAACCATCACAAATTCCTCACTAAAGCCCCCTTTTATGCTGCCTGTTCAAGACAAGAAGTTTGCACTTATTTTGCCTCGCTATTCTGTATCAAGGGTAAAAGGGTGTGAAAAGGGTATTCACATGGACTGGGGAGGCATTGCTGTTAACTCCTTTAAGACAGCAGTAGATGCAGTAACAGCACAGAATTGACATTTGTGTGAAAGTAGCAACCAGCAGGACGGGACAGAGTGATGTTTTGATGATATATTCTGGTGTATGTGGCACAGATTTAAAAAGCAGCTGGCAGCAAACTTAAAAGAATAAGAGCAACCAAAAATGTCTACAAATAGGGACGCAATGAGGTCTGGGAGCTCCTTACACTGAGCAGAGGACGAGGTCAACGCATGTAACAGACAATGTAAATTATTGCCATTTACGCTATTGTTACTGTTTAGAGAGCTGCCAGACATGCATGTTATACATCACACTAGACACCAACCCCTTGCGTCTTTTGCTTCTTGAAGCCAGCGTGCCATTAAAAAAAAATAAAGAATTCATACACCGAGGAAGCTTTATGCCTGCGTTTGGTTCTGTTTTGTTTTGTTTTTTTTAGGGAAAAAAAAAAAAGCAAAGCCGGTGTAATGAAGGGACTTTGTTGCAGCAATATTGGAGGATCTGTGTAGAAAGGGTTTATGGAATCGGGGGCTGCAAGGTAGCGTACGTGGTTGGTGTCATGAAGCATCTGGCTCTGCCGTGTTTGTGTGTGCATGCGTGCTTACCCTGCCGCCCTGGATGTTGTGGTATTTCTTCTCCAGACACTTCTTGACGCTGGCTTCTTCTTTGTATGTGATGAAGATGAAACCCCTCCTTTTCTTTGATTTGGGGTCAATTGGAAGCTCAATGGTTTCGATCTGGAAGAGAAGAAGGTAAAGACTCTTGTGTTACAATCTGGTGCAAAACAATACATATTTCTGAAACTGAACTTGATTCTTGTTAAGATGTTTAACAATTAAGTGGCATTAAAAATTCTGGATGACGTTATTTTACATAACATTTCTTGTGTAATTTAAGTGACAAATGAAACAGATTTAAAGAAGAGTTAATATTTTCCCTATTCAGCACATGAGGCTTAATATTGTTAGTGTCTTAGAGAAAGAACTTCTGATAAAAAGTTATCTTCCACATAAACTATCCTTCCTTCAGAGTTCTGTAATATGCACGTGCCTAAATGTGAGTACTTAAGCCATCAGTTCTTAAACTGACCTCCGGCTCTGTAGATGATATCAGCCGTTGCCCACGAACAAACACTATCCTTACTCGCTGCTCCGTTAACACTTAACTGTTCACTACGTTTTTTCATGGCTCCATCTGGTCAAACTTACCTCTCCAAAGGCCCCGAAATATTCCCTGATGGCGTCTTCAGTCGCCTCGGGATTCAAACCCCCAACAAAGATCTTCTTGACGGGCTCCTTCTTCATGGCCATCGCCTTCTTGGGGTCAATGGGACGTCCGTCCAGTCTGTGTTCTTTCTGCTCCAGCACCTACAGACATATTATTATTATATTATATTATATTATTATAATATGCATGGAGTGCTGATACACAGTAATGAAGGGTCAAAAGCCTTTAAATTTTCCTTTCATCATCTGACATTTCATTTAAATGTCTACTGCAGTGAGCATTTACAATGTGGCCACAAGTGCAGCACAAGAAGTGAAACCCAAGTCAATTGTTTTGAGCAACAGAAATGATCTACATGATCTCTTCTGTCTATGCTCTATTTTAACTGTATGCTCATAAAAATTTGATTCGGACAGATGTAGCAAAAGAATCAGCTAGCAACCAGTTTTGTTGATGTAAAAGCCTGCTGTCTTTGTATAAAAACAGTACACTGCACTTAATTCACACCACAATCTTTCTAGTGAACACCAAGAATCAACTTACCCACAAATTAAAATAACTGTTAACAAAGATCCAGGTGTTAATCATGCATCATCCTCATCTGATCATAAAAAACCACTATGGTGATGATACATGTGAACAAACAAACAGTCAGGTCAGTCAGAGTGGCTCACCTTTTCAACACTGGCGGCGTCTTTGAAGAGAACAAAGCCAAAGCCTCGGGATCGGCCGGTGTTGGAGTCCATCTTGATGGTGCAGTCTGACACCTCACCAAACTTACTGAAGTAATCCTTCAGGTCTTTTTTACTCGTGTCCCAGCTGAGGCCGCCCACGAACATTTTACTGCAAACACAGAGGACATATTGCTGTTCATTTCTTTTGCTTTTACATTAGTTACTGCACAGGTAGTCTTCACTGATAAAAAATGCTTAGCTATTATTAATTTTAAATTATTCATTATTAATATAGACTCAAGCACAGATTGCTACTGAACAAAATCAACTGGTAACAAAAGACTTATTATACATTCGCATTTCTGTTATCCTGTTATGCCATCTCCTGGCATCTTTTGTTTCATCCTGTGCACATAAACTCTTATTGTGAACTTTATTTCACAACACTAAATTTTTATTTAACAACAAAAGATTCTCTTACATAAGAGTGTGGTGGGTCTTGAGGGGAAACTAAACACTCACCCAGCATCCTCTTCTCCTTTGCTGGCATCAATCTTGCCTCCATCTCCACCATTGTCCTGGCTTTCCTGGCCATCTTGGCTTTCCAGGCACTCGTCCTCTCCACCCATCAGCTCCTGCTCCGCTCCATTCTGGTCCTCCTCACCCTCGGCTCCGTTCTGGTCCGATGTCTCCATGAGGAGAGTCTCTGCATCTGCCATTCTGACGGTGGGCTCTTAAAAGACTGAGATAGGGAAGACAAACTTAGTATGATCCTAGAGATGGATGCAAACTAGCCAGTGCTGAAACATGCTTCTAAGGGGTGAAACAAACAAAGCCCCAGAGTCAGGACTCTGTGTGGTATTGTTAACAGTTGCTTTGTGGGAAATTGAAAGAATAGATAAATGTTTTTCTTAATGACTTAAAATTGTTCCCATATATCGTTATTTTAAAATATTTTGCCAAAAATTACCAAAATGCAGTGCGCGTGAAGCTTTTGGTGGAACCTCAGGTCTGGAGCCAGAGAGTAGTTGCCCAGTTGTTAATCTAATCTCGCATAAACACATTTATTTTTAAATGCAAAAGAAGCTAAACATTAAATGATATTATTTAACATTTAGCAACAGTCTTACTAATTTCTCCGCTTACACTTAATTGCTTATTTTAAATGACAACATAGAGTGGAACACCACGAAAGCTAACAGAAAGCTAACAATAGCTGCGGCTGTCGCCATGCTAACATATCGTTTCTTTACAAAGGTATGGTGAGTAAATACTACATTTTTTTTAAAGAAATTACAATATCCTTCATAATTGTGTAGTCAGAGAACTATATTAACGTCAATGTTATGGCAGTAATAGGTGATAAACACTGTTCTAGGTCTACGCGTACATTGAGTACTTTGTTAGCTAACAAAAAGAAGCAGTAATCCGGCGTGGATCTCCATGTTCAGTGTTCAAGCGGACCGCGCTTTACTTCGTTGCCGCTCGGTACAGAGTCAGGCCCGGCTAGCAGCCAGCCAGCTGAAACTGAATTAAATAACCAGTTATATTACAGTATGCGCAACATATAAAAAATACCAACAAACGCTCCATAAGCATTAATGTCCTAATCTCTACTATAACCCACAAATGAACTACTCAATGAGCGCAATAACCTCGCTAACGTATTTAGCACCGCTGCGGCTAACAGTCTGCTAGCTACATTTACTGCTAACTAGATAACACATTACACATGAAAAACAGCGCCATAGCGAACACAACAATGAAAAGAACCGCGGTTTGGAGCTAAACGTATTCGCCGCAATTTAAATCAAGCTGTACTAACAAGAAACCGTGCTTACTTTAAGGGGGAAAATAACGGAGACGCCGACTCGCTGCTCAAAATGGACCCTCTCCAAATTCGCCGCTAACTCGTGGCAAAATATATACGACCGGATGTGAGCAAGCGCTGGGGGACGTGTGAAAGAGACGGTCCGCGATTGGACACGTCATTCCTTTGTGTGCATGAAGACGTTATGTGATTGGCTAATGGGCTGACGCAGTAATGACAAAGAGGAAAATACAGTAGCCAAATGTCCTTCCTGCTTCCTGTCCTCTCACCGCTACTCCGAGCTGTTGATATTTAATCACGTTTTTTAATCGATGCACAAATGTGTTACGACCAGCATATTTGTCAATGCCTTTATTTTGCCCGGTGAATAAGAAGAAGCCTCAAAAGTGAAACAGTTGCGCGGGTTTCTTCCGTTGGCGCAGTTTCTATTTTAGTAACAGTAACAAAGCTAACATTACCTGGGACCCTCAGCCCGATATTACAGAAATCTATGCATTTACTTGAGGATTTACTTGCTCTTTTTTGTCTGAATCAGCCCTTTAATGTCCACACTTATCAAAAAGCAGCGGCTTATTCTGTGCAATTATATTTCCTTGGGGCAGTAATTACATAATCTTTGTTTTAACAGACCCCATAGCTTGAGATGTCACTTCATGGTATTTGTAAATTAGAAAGAAAAAAATCTAAAGTACAACCCATATTCTGTTATAATGCTTGTGAAATGTTAGTATGCCAACATGTATAAATTTGCTACTGTGGAATTAGTAGTGCTAGTTTTATATCTATGTATTTATTCTAGATATATACCATCATAGTATTCATATGAAAACATCTTAGAAATAGTGAAAAATTATACTAATATATTTTTTTCATCCAATTTATAATTGAATAACATTAAATATATGGTCTTAACAGCTGTTAATATTCATCCTTTTTTAATTTTATAAAAAAAAATGTATGTTTATTATCTTCACTATAAGGACAAATGAACTGTTAGGTATAGCATCTTTTTGTTTGTTTTTTGTAAAAATTTCACCCTGCATTTTTTGTATAAAACTACATAAATTTTTTCAGTAAGACCTCTGAAACTATACCATGTGGAAAATTCTGAGATAATCTAGTTAATTCAGAAAGACAGGGCAAATGTTTTTCTGAGGGGAATGCATTGCGCTTCTGTACAGTTCAGATAACCTACCTGAATTCTGATCAAGCTGCATTATGATGGCCATGTCTGATTTTTGTTAACTTTTTTATATACTTGTTTGCAGCTCTTATTTACAAAGAAATTAATTTTAACAGAAGGGAAAAGGGGGAAGACTGCCTGGCCGCTAACTCTCACGTATTGAGACTTATGCCAATACCACTAGGCATGGATGGATTACTCAGTACTCAACAGGCCAACCAGGCACAGGCCAACGGGCACAAAAAGACCACAAAGAAATTCAAAGAAACTGCCATGAGACATCAAATAACTACAAAAATGGGCAAAACAACCACAAAGAGACACTAAATGACCAAAGCGACACAAAAATAACCAAAAAGGAAACAAAATAACCCCAGAGAGACAAAAAATTACCTTAATAAGACACAAAATTATCTCAAAGAAACCCAAACAACTAGAGACAAAAACCAAAAGAAAAAGATGAGACCTGTGTGTCTTGCACCTATGTAAGAAAGGAGGTGGGGCCCTTTGCATATCTGTTTCCAGGGGCCCATTGTGTAATAATCTCCCTGTGCAACTAAGTTAAGACAGTCACGGTGATGCTTTCATGACATATTATTAAAAACCAGCTGAATTCTGAATGAACACAAAAAAACTAACATACCTGAAAAGATAATGTATGAAACATATTAATGGTAGATGAAATATAAAGTATATGGCTTGTTTACAGAATTGCATCACAATGATACACAGCGGGAAAGCATATGACCAACCCAGAGTGGGCTGGTCCCTTCACTAACTGAAAGTCTCTTGAGATATGTTAGAGCCGAGGCCTCTGTTAGCTTCTTCAAGCCTTAAAGGCACACAGGGAGACACACCTCTGCCAACTGCAAATATGGAATGAACTAAGAAAATAAGATAAAAAGACACAACTGAGTAAGTGGGTCTTTTTTTGCCTACAATTTTATTTATAAAGACAGTGTTAACATTTTAATCTGTATGATATGGATACATCAGCAGTATCATTTTGATTGATAAAAAGAGCCATGTCTTAAGTTGATGTAGCCAAAGCTTTAAGACTATTCCATATGTTGTTTAGGTGGTCTCATGGTCATCACTGCAATGACTCTAAACTTTCTTTTATGTACAATATTATGTCTTTTAAACTTCTGACCTAAGCATCCTATTATACAATAGATTTACCTTGACAATATTAGGATTGTAAATTGTACACCCAAAGTTTTGCTTATTTCTTTAAAAATATAATGAGATCGAAGCTTTTTCCATCATCTATTGTTCTATGGTGTTGTAAGAACTGTAAAATAGCTGAAAAATGAAAACCCTTCTCTTCCACAGGGCTTTAAAAGCAACACATAGGGAATGTATTACACTTGTCACCATGCACCATTAGCTTGATAAATGTACAGTTCTCCATTTCCAGGTGAAGAAACAGCTGCTCACGATGGAGCCAAAGGACACACCGATAACTCCATGCAGCCTGGGCCCCGGCTCTGGTCTGGAGTTTGGCTCCTTTGTGAATAGCCTTTCATCACTTACACCAAAGACAGAGGAAGAGGAGAAACCAGAAATATCAAAGAGACGCTCCTACATAGCTGTGGCTGTGCTTTGCTACGTCAACTTGCTCAACTACATGGAACGGTACACATTAGCAGGTTAGATTACCTCTTGTGTACACAACAAACACACACTGTAAACAAACACCATTTCCTGCTTCTAATTTGGTTGGTTTAAGCATGAATTGTCTTTACTGTCTTATAGGTGTCCTTTCCAACATTCAGAAGTTCTTTGATATAAGTGACAGCACAGCCGCACTTTTACAAACAGGTATGATGATGATGCAGGAACACACACATATTTTAAAGGAACACATTTTATGCAACGTGGACTGCAAGTGAATTGTCGAGCAAGACAGAAATGTAAAATTAGACAGACACATACATGTGTGTAGCACTTTTTGCTTTTAAATCTGTGAAATTAATTCTTATTATTGCACTTACAGTTTTCATCTGCAGTTTCTTGCTCTTGGCCCCTCTCTTTGGTTACCTTGGGGACCGCTACAACCGCAAATACATCATGATTGGTGGTTTGAGTGTGTGGCTTGCGACTGCAGTTGGCTGCTCTTTCGTCACTAAGTCGGTGGGTGAGAACAGATGTGTTTACATCACAAAATCTTGCTGCTAGTAGTTTTTCTTCCTCTGTCATTTGACCTCATCATCCATCTACTCCTTTTGTGCAAATACTCCAGGGGGTGTATTCACAGAGCTTCCTAGCACTGAGTTGCTCTGAGAGACAAAATTCTAAGACAAAACTTAGAATTCCCCCGTAAAGTTAAGACGAGGTCCTTGTAAAGATAAAAGTTATTCACAGAGCATCTTGGAAAACTTGTTAGGAGTAGAGAGGAGGACTTTAAGAGGCTTAAGAGTTTCTTAGGCAGAGGAGAAAATGGTGGAAACACAAAGAGGTCGGAGAAATATTCTCCAAACACTGGGTGACAGTGAGTAAATGAAATGCTACAGATTAGATCATGTAGGGATAATGTTTGTGGTTGATCTCATTATGGGTACGCACACATTTCCCACATAACGCTGTAACGCCAGAAATGAAATGATCACAATACTGAGATATTTGGAAAACTGGAAAAATGCAGCAGTGCAGCAGTGATGACTTGGGTCTGTCTCGACCTTCCATCAGCAGAGTGATCACACTAACAATGAGAACACTTTCAGTCAGCAGTTCATTTCATTTCCACTGGGTGTCCACACCTTGCAGGCTCACAAAAAGGCACATGTCTGACAACCAACCACATATGTTAAAAGAAAGCATCACACCTAGCAGGGGGTCAAACACACACCTTCTGTCCCTTCCTTACTCATAGTTGCTCTGAGAACTTTCCTAAATCACTCCTAAACTAGGACTACTTACAAAAAACTTTAGGCTAATTAAGCATGAGGCGATGTGCGTAGTCTGCTACACAAGTATAAATCCTGCTAAAGTTTGGAGCTCTCTGAGAGTGTTCTCAGAATGTTTGTGAATACGGCCCCAGGTTGTCAGTGCAAGGAGTATAGAGGGGAAGTTTTACCACCAAATTGGCGCTGGTTCTTAAACTAGTTCCATTCATGACTGCTGGAACCTTGGTGCTATCTACTAAACCAAATCGCATTTCCACCAGTTTTGAGTGTTACCCGAAAAACAAGCATGAACCAGGTATTACTGAGACAACTGCACACTTTTTAACAATTTCTCACTTAGCGCCTCCATTGCGTTCTCATTTCAACCTGTAGAATATGACACACCAACTGATCACTATTCACACCTCAGGTCAGGAAAAACCCGCTTTCTTTTGTTCTAGCTGATAACCAACTTTCTGAACCAGTTTGTTTTTGGTCAAAATGCTCTGAACGCTTCAAAATTAGGTGCGGGAAGCAGAAGAGAGCCGGTGTTGGTGTAGAGGGGGTATTTGTGGTTCAGGAAACGTATCCTTTGGGCTACAGATATGCAAAGCTCATGTAAATACATGCAAACATTACATGAGACAACACAGTATTTGTCAAACATCTGAGTAAACACAGACCTCAACATGAAGTACAACAGATAAATAAGAGTGCCATATGTTAAGAGGATATATGTGATGTTTTGGACGGAATCTTGTTGAACTGCTTTTGTCCTGTTGTCTTAATGTCTTCAGCAATTCTGGCTCCTGATGCTGCTGCGAGCCATCGTTGGGGTCGGAGAGGCCAGCTACACCACCCTTGCTCCCACCATCATCGGTGACCTCTTTGTTGGGGATAAACGGAGCAACATGATCTGTGCCTTCTACGTCATTATGCCAGTTGGAAGGTCAGAAACAAAGTCACTATAAGTCCGCCACTACCCCCCCGCTACGCTGATTAGTTTATGCACACTTGGCCAAATTTTAAATGAGACGTAGAATTAAGTGATTTTAATGAAATATCACTGTTCTCAGTTTTTTTATATAATTTTTTTCCTTGACAGAAACATTCGTCACACATTGTGTGTCCGAGGACCACCAGGAATTTGAAAATCCAATGATAACTTTTGTTTTACAGTTTCTGGCAATGACAATTGGTGTCATTTTGGCAATTTCTATAGAAAGCATGCCTTCCAAACTTGTTGCTGGTGCATTTGGAAGTCATGTTGGATATATTATTATTATTATTATTATATTTTCAGACACTAAATTTAATTAATTTTTGGAAACAAACACAAAAAACTGGGGAGCAGCCTTCCTGTAGTAACTCTGAGGACTCCCTAAGGGTCACAAATCCCCGCAGAAGACCCAGGGTCTAGAAATTATGCATTATTGCATATGCATCTTATTATAAATTCTTAAAAGGCCAAAAAAATTACAACCCAAACCACTGGTCCAGATCCAGAACTCTAATATAGTCTAGGTATTTTTTATTCTTTGCTGTGGTGGCAAAGATATAACCAGTGTGCCTATTCATATTAATGGACTAATGGCCAAAAAAGAAACACAAACATTAGACCGACCAGTGATGAATGTTCATCACTCAGTAATTCACTCACTCACCCTGTGACAGACTTATGCATTTATAGGGCTGGCCCCCGCTTAACTGCGCTTAAAAATGCTGCTGGACAATCAAATGAAAAAAACAGACATTAAACAACCATGCACCTTATGAAAAGGACGAAAATCAAGATAATCTAAATCATGGTTCTTTAACCAGCTCAAAGTAAAGATAATATTTTTCTTCTGTGAATACTGCTGGACAAGTGTATCCTACTGTTAAGCTTGTTTATGTCATCATGATCACTCAGATTGTTTTACCATTATGATTGTTTTCAGTGGTCTTGGATTCATGGTAGGTGCGGGGGTTACATCTCTCACCGGAGACTGGCACTGGGCTTTCAGGGTGAGAACATTTTAATGAACAGCTGTAAATGTTAGCTGATCACTGACAAATAAAATATGTTTGATATCACAACCCTTTTCTGTGTTAACAGATTAATCCCATCTTGGGTTTTGTGGGACTTGTCTTGTTGGCTTTCTTATGCCCCAACCCACCCAGAGGTGCTGCAGAGACACATGGAAGGGGAGTCACAGGGAACAGCTCTTACCTGGAGGACATCAAGTATCTTCTGAAAAAGTAGGAGAAGGATGGATGGAAAAGATCAATTATATGTCAGCCATTATTCTTTGTTTTTTTCCATGAACACATAAAAAAAAAAGATTTCAGATTTATTGTTCAAGCTCCAGTTAATGCTGTGATCATTTGTATTGGTCCCTAATGTCTACAGAGATGATTTTTGATGAATATTTACAATCTTTTCTGTTGTGTTACTCTAACCCTAGTAAAAGTTATGTACACTCATCATTTGGAGTGACATCCACGACGTTTCTTGGCGGAGCCCTGGCTTTCTGGATGCCCACTTTTCTGTCCAGAGCTCGGGTCAGTCAGGGCCTCCAACCGCCGTGTGTCAAAGGGCACTGCAACCACACAGACAGGTGCAGCATCACCCTTCATTTACATCTTCTTCAAAATTGAAAAATAGTTTTATCATTGCTGTCTGCCTCTTTTCCTCCATACAGTTATATCTTCGGTGCTATTACGGTGGTGTCAGGCTTTCTGGGAGGATGTCTCGGCAGTGCTATATCTAAATGGTTTAGGGACAAGGTCCCAAAGGCGGACCCACTCATCTGCACAGTTGGCCTGCTAGGATCGGTTCCCTGCCTCCTCATCACGATCTTTGTGGCATCAGCAAGTATCCCCGCCACTTATGTAAGAGACAAACTTAAATCTTTGCTGGTGTCAAGTAGTTAAAATGATAATTTTTATATATGGGTCTAAACTTTAGAGCCACACAATGATATATATATTTATGAGGTTAGGTATTGTGTGGGATTTTGCTGATACTGGTGCTAAAACAGTACTTTTGAAATGGTGCCAGTACTCGATAGTACCCGAAAGCAACAATGGTCAGTGACATTAAACTCCTTTTTTTTATTGCAAAGGCAAATCTGAACTTGAAACTGAACAAAGTATTAACTCTTAACAGTTTCAAATATACCTAAATATATAAGTTTGAATAAATATAAAACGCTATGAATAGTTGTAAAACCCAACCCACCTCCAATCAATTAACACTAAATAACAGATACAGTACTATACAAAGCAGTGTCGTAGTGCTTGAGATCAGTGTTGGTCCTGAGAACACTTTTTGAAGGCCACGTCTTGGACTCAGCAGCATTTTTACTCGGTCTTGTCTCAGTCTTCGACAAAGAGGACTCTGGATTTTATTTCAAGACGAATCAAAACCACAACTACAGGGATATCAGTGAACTTCCTGTGCAAAAAAGGAGTGCTGAGTAAAGATGGTTTAGTTGATTATACAAACAAACGAGGTGAATGAAGAGGAATTTTCATTTTCCACCTTTAGATACGAGGAGGGCCTATGGTTCCCCATTTAATCCTAAGTGTGTCATGCAGTGTGAGCCTTTCACTCCTCAGGTCTTGACTCATTGTCAACCCCTCGAAGTCTTGATCTCGATCCTTGACTTGACTTGGTCTTGGTGTAGGTAAATACATTGAACAAAATTTTAAATACAACACTTGTATTTTTACTCACTTTTTTCACAGGTTCAAGTCAAAGATCTGAGACCTTCATGCACTCAATAGAAATATTTCTCTCAAATTTTGGTCACAGTTTTGTTTGAATCTGTGTTAGTGAGCACTTCTTCCTTTCTAAAATAATCCCTCCACCTGACAGGTGTAGCATATCAAGATGCTGATTAAACAGCGAAAGGCACACCTGTGTAGTAATGATGCTGTTTAATCAGCATCTTGATATGCTACACCTGTCACCTGTCAACTGTAAACAGTTCAGTAATCCCAGCATGCTGCATATACTGTATATATACTGTTTATACATATGGGTCCATGTCATTGGTCCGACAGCCCATTGGTCCGACATCCCATTAGTCCGACAGTCCGCAGTGCTGAACGGCTCCTGGCGGGCGTATTTCTACCTTAATGGTGCGCCACGACCGGCTCTGGGTCAGCTGGGAAAGGCTTGAGGCGAAGCAGGCTTACGGCTTATGTGTTTGTCACTTTCTTTTTCATTTTAACCCACACCATGATCTTTTCCTGACCCTAACCAAGTGGTTTTTGTGCCTAAACCTAACTAGACCTTAACCACAGGGCATCATGATGATTTCGGAACAACGGGACTTCGGAACAATGGGTTTAATATGGTCAGACCAATGGGCTGTCGAACCAATGGGCAGTTCCCAGACATATATCCACCTACGTCATGTATATAAAGTTACATGCTACATTAATAATTTCTTATTTTTTCCAGCAGGCTTTGCACTCTTCAATGCTGCACTAATGTCCGGCTGTTTACAAATGTCATTGTGTCCTTGTTTTTAGCTGTATGCCTATTCTGTTTTTGTACATTGAGAGCTACAAAAAAAAACTGAGTGAAATTTCTTGTGTACTTGGCAAACTCGGCTGATTCTAATTCTGGTTTAGCTAGAGGTAATGCACTCATAGACTAAAAACAAGAAATTGAACAATTAATTTATCACTTGATGAGTCTCTTACTCTGTGTCTTAAACGTCTCATTTCAGGTATTCATTTTCATTGGTGAACTGCTGATATCACTCAACTGGGCTGTCATGCCTGATATCCTGCTGGTGAGTTTGAACAGCATGTGTGGGAATAAAAATATGAAACCATCTGCTGAAAGTTGAAGCCAACAGATTGTTTTTTGTTACTTTTTATGTAAGTATGTTGTTATACCGACCAGACGGTCCACAGCTGAGGCCCTCCAGACAACACTCTGTCATCTCCTGGGTGACGCTGGGAGTCCCTACCTAGTCGGAGTGGTGAGAAATATTTCCCATAGTCAACTTCTTTTTTCTGTTTCATCAATATGTGAGCTTGAGGAAATCATTTTTTTCTGTGCAGATCTCTGATGCTATACGCAAATCCAGATCTGCAACACACCAATGGAACTTCCACAGTCTGCAGTACAGCCTTGTCATCCTCCCATTTGTTGGGCTCCTGGGTGGACTCTTTTTCTTCTTGGCTTCCTTCCACATTACAGAAGACAGGAAGGCAGCTGTGCTATCAGTTGAAGGTACTGTATAGTTACTGTTCTTTTATTCTCTATAAACAGTGATATGGTGCAACCATGGCCCCAACAGAACACCTTTCTGCACACTCTACTGTTCTTGTGAGCTGTGGTGACATACTAAAATCAACATATTCTGAGAGGGTTTGTTTGTATTTCTGTGCAGGATTACACGATTAAGTCCTTACAGTTGTGTTTGCATGTTAATGTCAGTGTTACACATACTGGAGAGCCCTTCCTGAGCAATAGCCCTCTATTGAACTCACTTGTACTGAACAAAAATGTCAAAAACACTTTTGTTTTTGCTCCCATTTTTCACAAGTCACCTGTCAGGTGTGGCATATCAAGATGCTGATTAACAGCATCATTGCTACACAGGTGTGCATCGGGATGGTCACAATAAAAGGCAACTCTAAAATGTGCAGTTTTATTTTGGAAAAAAAGACAATTGTTAAGCACTCTGAACTATGAATTTCACATGACTAGGGCTACAGGTATGCACTTATGGTCACACAGGAATTATCCATGAAGAGAATGTTTCTCCAAAGTGCCAGATGCCATTGAAGTTGAGCAGCTGCCCACTCAAGTCGGTCACGACAGCAAACTGCTGTCAGGTCAAAACCCTGCTGAGGATGACGAGCATGTTTCCGACATTTTGTTCAGAAAATTTTCAGTTGTGCAAACCAATTGTTGCATCAGCTGTTTGGGTGGCTGGTCTTGGAAGATCATGAGGTCCTGGTGTGGCTATGCAGAGCTTAAGACTCATTTGTACTCCCTTTACATATGATTATAGATTCATCTGTTTCAAATGTTGTAAACGTCACTGCCCTCATACTTTTTGGGGGCATAAATACAGCCAATAGATGGAGGACAGAGTCAAAAATTTCACACAGCAACGAATTAGGCGATAGTGGAGGAGGTTGAAATATTTTACCTTTAAACGGAGGCAGCATTGTAGACGGCGATGGTCTATCTCACTTGAATTACACTACACTACCTCCACGATCTCTGCTCTGTTTCATCTGTATCCTTAAACTTTAAGAAAATGTGCACAATTCCGGACAAAATGAATGCAGAGTACGGACAGAAGGTTCCGTCTGTCTCCGTCTCCATGTCTAACATTGAGCACAGATAAGTCCTTATAGTAGTGAAATGAACATTCAGTTCACAGCTCTGGTGGACAGCATGCCAAATGCACGCTCCCTCAGAACTTATATCTGTGGCATCGTGTTGTGTGATCAAGCTGCACATTTTAGAGTGACCTTTAACTGCGACCATCCCAGGGCACACCTGTGTAGTAACAATGCAGATTAACCAGTATCTTGATATGCCACACCTGTCAGGTGGATGGACTATCCTGGCAAAGGAGAAGTGCTAACATGGATTTCAACAAAGTTGTGTTCACAGTTTGAGAGAATTAAGCTGTTTGTGTAGCCGGTCTGGCTTGAAACTCCATTTTGTTAAGAACTCTGCGCTGTGTTTGTAGATAGTGAGTATGAGACAAGGACAGCTACTGGCTTGTCAGCTGAGATTAATTCTCTCAAAGGCTGTGTAAAAAACAATGATATCTGTGGATGGGGCTCTCGTATAATCTTACCACTCTTTAGCAGGGCCTGCAGCTGGAGAAAAGCGCCAATGTACAGGAAGTGACACTGCCAAAATGTCAAAGGTCACACAACAAAAACTTCATTAACAAAATTAAAACTCACCGAAAAACACAGAAATAACAAGAAGAATAATAACAAAATGTATATTGATTATTGATGAAATATAAACCCTTTACAGACATCAGTACTGTGCATAGAAAAAGTCTCAGACATTTTATTTCAACTTGCGAAGCATTTATTTTTTTGTTCAGTGTACTAGATTACTTAGTTTCCATGTTGATCTAATAAGTGCTCAGTGTCAATACGTTTGTGTGTGTGTGTGTGTGTGTGTGTGTGTGTGTTGTACCAGGAGATCTCCCACCACAGCAGGGTCCTGGATCTGAGCCCCCGGTGGAACAGAGCAATGGGGCGATTGAATAAAGCTGGACAAAGGCCTCAATGCAATTAATTTATTAGTAAATATTTGAAGTTAAACTGCTGGTGCTGAAAGCAGGATGTTTAAGGTGTCTTGAAATATTGTATAGGCCAGTATTACAGCTCTCAAATTTGCCTCAAAGGGATGAACAATCAGTACAACACCCTTTAACCTTAGACCAGGGGTGCCAAACTCATTTTAGTTCGTGGGCCACATACAGCCCAAATTGTTCCCAAGTTGGGAACCATAATCTCTCAATAACACCTCCAAATTTCTGCTTTCTTTTAGTGTAAAGGAGAACATCCTAAAAACATTCATTAATTTACAAAACAGATGGTGAACAGCTGGAGTAAGTGCAATTTCAACAATATGTCTCAGCATGCATGTCTTCACAAACTCAACCTTTGATGCTGATGCTATTTTGTGAGCAATAAGGTAGCTTTCTGTTATAGCTGTTTGCACACCCAGCACACTAGCTTCCCATTTACTTCTATAAAGAAATAAGAATGGGTGCATTTTATTTTATATGCAATTTTATTTATTATTAATTAATGACCCTTCTGGCCCATGGCTGTACACTGTAAAATATTTGAATGGTCTTTCACAGTAAATTACTGTGTCATTTTACAGTAGAATGTTGTGAAATGACAGCTATATACTGTGATCTTGCAGCAGTTATGCCTGCATTTTACTGTGATTTGGCAGTATGCCCCTGTAAATGACTGGATTTAACTGTGACTGCACAGTTTATGTACATTTGATTACTGTGATTTAGCAGTACGCTCTCATAGAATTACAGTATTTCACTGTAACCTCACAGTTAAACTGCATATATTGCTGTGATTTAGCAGTAAAATTATATTTAACTGCATGAATTTCCCAATAAAACTGAATTTGGTTAAAAATCACAGTAAAAGCCTGTGAGGTAATAATAACGTAATTTATTGTGAAATATTACAGTTACATATTGTAACGTCCTGGAGTTAATTTGCAGTGTATGCTTGACACACCTGCCTTAGACCCTCGATTCTAGTAAGGACTTTCTTTCTTGAATTTTGCTGACAACCATCTACACTCATGTGGCCAGTTATGAATGATCCTCAATATGGGGGAAGGATCCATATTGAGGATCATCAGATTAGCCTCTACATCTATGAATGTTCCAGCTAGCATGCAGCTGCTGCCTCCTAATGAGGACCAGAGGGGCATCAGGCTGGAGCACAACATATGCACATAATGGTGTTAAATCTCTTATTGTAATATTTGCTGGAAATCCATCTGAGAATTCCAGTTTTCCCACCCATCTCCATGGATCTACCCTGAAAGTGTCTCAAAACTCTGTATGTTGTCCATGCACTGTTGAAAAATGTAAATGTGTCTCTATTTAACAAAAGTAAATATAAAGTGTTTTTTTGTTCAGTTTCACTTCAGTTTGTTTGAGTTAGTCCACTAGATGGCACCACTGCACTGCTGTAAAACATGCCAGCATGACTGATCCCGGGTATCTTTTATAACAATGGATTTGCCAGATGTTCAAGGGACCGCCATTAGAACTACCTTAAAGATGTTCATGTTTGCAGCCACCAAGGCAGCATGTACATAATGTGCAGGTTTACTATAATGGTCTTTAATAACACTCTGTGTCTTGGGCCATTACATGTAAATATCTTATTGTAATGATATCACTTAAAGGTCTCATTTTTAGGTTCAAATTTGTATTGTGGGTTTCTTTAAGAACATGTTTACACATCAGTGTTAAAAAACACATTATTTTTCTCATACTGTCTGTCTGAATATACTTGTATTCACCCTCTGTCTGAAACGCCCCGTATTGGCATCTGTCTATTTAAGATTCCCTCCCCAAAAAGTCCAGTCTGTTCTGACTGGTCAGTGTTTACAGGTCCTCCACATCTCAACAATCAGGAGCAACCCTACATGAACCTGCACAGTTTCTGTCCAAGCCCAATGTGAGTCTGACACAGCAGCAGCTTTGGGCCTGAGCCTGATTAAAAACCTGAATTTCTACTGTAAAGTAAATATGCTGTATATATTTTAATACTGAAACTACAAGCCAAGGGCTGTTTTTCGCACCACCTTTCCTTCTTCTCTTCCTTATTTCAATAGTCCATCATCTTGTGCATGAAAGGTTCAGCAGAGCAGGCTGCACCCCTTGGTAAGTCTACTGCACATGGCAGTCCATGGCGATGTGGCATGCAGGTAATGATCACTGCTCTTCACTGCACTGTTACGCACATCTCTCCCACTGCTGGGGAGGCAGAAAGAAACACTGCCAACCAAGTGGCCTTGCAGCCTCTCTTTATTGCTCTTTTTCTTGTATTTTCTGTCCCTCTCGCGTGCGCTCTCTCTTTCTCCTCTTCTCTTATTACTCTGTTTTTCTGACACTTTCCCTGTGTCAGTCACAGCCCCTATTCTCCGCCGTCATTGCCAACCCAGTCTCACTCCGAAATCGTCAAAATCTGGCACTTGGTGAATGACTTCTGGCATCAGACGCCGACAAAAAAAGCTGGCCTTTCATGTCAGCATGACACACAGCCGGTCACTGCTATTGTTTAATGGCGCCTGGCGTCATCAGGGGGAAACGCAGGGTGACAACGATGAAAGTTAAGGCAGCGGAAGTTCGTGTGTTTGCAAAACATAACCACGTGTGTTTGTTGTTGAAGGAAAAAAAAACTCACTTCGCATGCTGTACTGACATAGTACATTTATTTTGAAAGAGACTGTATGCAAATGGTCCATTTCCTGTGAACAAGGAAGTGTATTTTGAAAACAGACAATGAACGTAACAGGCTGAACTTGACACGGCACCCCAGAACGTGAACAACCAACACACCCAGGGAACCTTGCACGTCATATGTCGACGTGGAAAGTCCATGACCAAACATTGATAGGTGACAAGGTCGGAGTGAGAATGTGTTGTCACTGCAGCCATTTAATGACTGTAAAGCCCCTGTAGCGGCAGTTTTTGCCTTTATATAGCATAGTTGTGATATCACACCTTCATAAGTCCTCACAGCACATTTAAAGGCACAGTTTCTGAATATGGACTCTGTGCATTTCTCTGTGGATTGAGCATTTTGATACTTTCACGGTATTTATATACTGTAGCACCTGCTTTATATTAATAAAAACATGGGAATCTAAGTTAACCACTTAACCACTTAACTCTAAGTTATTAGCATCCCCATCTGAAAGAAAATTGCAAGACAATGTCAAACCCAGCAATGACAAGGTCAAGGATGAATTCATTCATTTTGGTGTAGATAGTGATGGTATGATATATTTTTAAGCTCACACACTTTTCTCTTCACCTCTTACCATGGATATTAACTGCGATGTTCTATTTTTACACAAATCGTCTTCATCTGAAGGTGCGAAATGATCTCACACTTGTGTTCAGAGTGAAGGAGGAAGTCTGTTTGTAGATTTTGATCACAAATTCTTTCAGCTATGATGTGGTGGATGAGCAGGTACCTGCATGTTTTTTTGTTTTTGTCCTAGAGGCTGTTGTGCTTCTATTGTTGGGCTAGAAAGCCACTGAATAAGCTGACCCTGTGGCGATGCCTGAGGGTCAGTTCATTTTGTAGGACTGTTCACCCACTATAAAATCTCACTCAGACCTGAGGAAAAGCAACAAGGAGGTAGCAGATTTCTTGGTTAGTTGGACCCACTGAAAATTCCCCAATTAAGTTGCCCATTAAGGCAATCACCTCTACGACTTTAATGAGGACTGTTTTAAAAGTAGAAGTTACAAGTTGTTTGGGTTATGGTATCTGTTCCCCAGTGAGACAGAAATTTGGTTTGACACATCCTAATGTATTCAAGGCAATAGCTCTTAAAACACTTCCTGTGGCAACAACAGCAGTGAAGCCACTGATGAAAATAATAACACATTCATCTATAGGTGACCACCCACATCTATCAGCCCTTTGTCCTTCTGTTGTGTGAGTTGTGTGTGCAAAGCTGTTAAAACTCATCAATGAATGAGGCCAGTAGCAGCATATAATGTTAGTTAACGTTATTATTATTTCTTGCTTATTATAAGATAGAATGACACACTTTCCCCTTAATAACCTCCTAATTATGGCCTATTAATAGGAGGTAAGGAAGTTGTTGTTCATGAGTTATGATCTTGATATGTTTTGCTCAGAGTGGGACTTGTAAACCGGTGGTACCATGTTCTCCCTTAGTAACACTTAATAAAAAAACAATGACACGAGGCATGGCCCAGTGGTTAATGATTTTCTTGACTGGTGCAGTAAATCTTTCCTTGAGATGAATATTTCCAAAACAAAAGACATGATCATTGACTTTCGTAAAAACAGGGCTTCAAATCAAGAGGCCACAGTTTTAAAAGGTTAGATAGTGAAGTATGTCAACACATACAAATATCTTGGAACTGTCATCGACAACAAACTGAACTTTGAGGCAAACTGCGAAGTTGTGTACAACAAGAAAACTGTCCACTTTTAACATTGACAGGACCATGCTGACCTTGTTTTATTGTGCTTTTATTGAATCAGTCTTATCTTTCTGTCTTGTTTCATGGTTTGGAAACGTGTCCTTAAAAAACAAAAACTGTTTAAACCAAATCGTGAAATGGTCTAGCAAGCTGATTGGAGAGTCTCAGCTTCACCCAGAATCCCTGTATGCTAAACAGCTACAGAGGATAGTTAACTTTTTTGTAAGAGATGACTCCCACCCTCTTAATGGTGAGTTTCAGCTGCTCCCATCAGGTCTGAGGTTCACGGTTCCTGCTTGTAAATCCAGTCGCTACAAAAACAGCTTTGTACCAGCAGCCATCAGTGCTATTAACAAGTGAGAGAAACTGTAACATAACTTATGTATTTATTTCTTGTACTGTTTCTTTTATCTTGTTTTTATGAATAGCACATCTTTATCATTTGGCTTGGTTTGACGCATCCCTAGGCCTTTTTATCTACTGATGTTCTAACTTATTTTGCTTTTTATCTTGGGGCTGTCCTCTTTGTTCTTTTAGCCTAAGCACTGCCGTCACTTTGTCTTGTCTTGTGGTGTTCTGTGTGTTCACAATACGAGATGACTCACTCACTGTAAACCGAATTTACCCAAGGGTACAATAAATATTCTGAAGTCTGAGGTCTGAAAATATGGTGTATTCTCATGTAACAAAACACAAAACTGTAAGTGTTAATAGTGTTCAAAAAATCTGAATTAAGTCATTCTAACTCAGAGTATTTTCCCCATTCTTTAGTGATGGCTACACCTTGAAAAAACAGAGGTCTATTGAGATGCACAGGTTTGATTTCCATTCAGTGGTTAAAGAATAAAGTCAGCACAAGTAGAAATACTTCATTTATTAAACGGACGCTTTAGAGATTGTCAAACTTGTCTATTGAAAATGTATTGTCTTATTACTTGAGTATAGGGTCTAGTTGTGTGCTATTGGGCCGCACCTAACATTTTTTTAACTGATTTATCTATATAACAACTACTTTATCAGTTATTTTGAAGATGTTTTTTTATTACTTGATTATAATAACAATTAATTTACCCCAATATAAACATCAAAACATGTCTCATTTGTATTAGATATTTCTATTCAATCATTTTCCCTTAAAAAATAATGACATTGGTGCCATATTCTGCGATTAGTCTAATTTCCACATCACTGCTGTGTTATGATATTAATAATAATGATAATCTGTAAGATGCCTGATAAGAAAAAATACTGGACCTCAGATTCACAAGGATTGCTGTGATACATAAATTGATTTAGTCACTGTATATCATAGCAGCCTTTTCCCTTAACTGGGAAATCAGTATTTCTACGTTAGTATTTGACTCAAACTTAAAATGGACATGACATCAATTTATATTATCACTGGAGTAATATGCAGTTGAGATAGTCACTGGCAAATGTATTTTGCATCAATGCATGGGGCAAGGAAAATAACTGAAATGATTTTTACAGACTGTAAGCAGTCTGTTAGTTTAAGCCATTTTCTCACTCGTGCATGGACGTAAAGAGTGACAACATTAGATGAGGCCTGGTCTAAGTGACTACTACTAACAGAAACACGTTTGGCATGTTGACATTTCAAATATGGCCTGGATGCAGACAAACAGTAAACAGGACGGTGCTGTCTGCTGCCATTGTTACAAAGCACTCTGGCGTGCTTTTGCTAGTGTCTGTGCAAAGCAGCTGCACTCCTGTGAGAAGTCATTTCCAATTTGTGGGCGAGATCATTTTGCTGCAGCTTGTTCTCTGGAGGAATCTTTTTATTTACTCCTCTACTCCATGTTTTTTTTTTCCACATAGAAAACGTGTGTTTAGAGGTAAACATATGTGAGACATATGAGATATGTATATATGTACGTTACATATATTATTCTATTTTGTTTACTCATTTAATTACCTATTTTAC